TCCAAACTCAATGTCAATATACCGTTTCAAAAATTTTGTACTGTTCTGGATACTGTACTTCTGCAGACCTCCACAACTGATGGGGGCTTTTCTCACTTGAATTAACCTGCAAGGCGACTGGCTGTTTTTATTGACTGGTGGGACCTTCCCCGTAAACAGACTCAGTAATGTTGAGCATTACAAGGTTTCATTTTCCAAGCAGTGACTTGTCTCCTCCTTTACAATGTCTCTGCACTAGCCAAAAATAATATAGGGCTGTTTTTTAGATGACAGAAATGGTGTTGCACAATATATAATAGCATGTGCAGGAACGTTTTATTATTCGAAAAAAAAAAAAGCAACGGGGGCTGCTCCCTGAGTTGAGCTAACGAGCTAACAGAGCTGACAAGTGTCGCGTTGAATGCTGGTGAGGACTTAGTCTACTTGTAGTAGTTAGTCTACTTAGTGATACAACCACACTAACTAGCTAGTTAACTAGTTTTGCAACTGTTGGCAACAAGCGGTATTATGTTGAGCGAGGAGGAGCTCTTTTCAGAAAGAGGATACCACAGTTCACCCACTATGGGAAATGGGGGCCGATGCCAATACCCTCTATTTCCATGTACATATCTTGCAATGCCAATATCGATACCAATACATAAACATTGATAAAATGTAGAAATATTAAATTCACCTAGATTAGCATTAGAGAGTATTACTGTAAAGCAACATTTATTTGTAAACAGCTACAAATGCACTTAAAATGAATAAAATGCAGGCATTTAGTACAGTAGCCCAGCATCACAGAAACATTCTGCTCTTCTAAAGTTTGATAAATAGCCACGTCATCAATTATTTGTTTGAAATATAGGTCAAACCTAAACATCCGTGTGATGCTGATGTTTTAAGGAAACATCTGCCAATATTGATATGATTCTGATATTATGGTGTAGCGCTGGTAGGCACAATGCTAAGTGGTTGCTGTAAGCTTTGATATTTAAGGCTCCAGTGCAAAAGTAAAGTAGCAAACTTCAGACACCAAACATGTCTTGGCTGAAGGACTACATTTAATTTAGGGGGAAAATTGTGTAAATTTGATTTTTTTGCCAAATTATTCCTTTAAGGTTTCCATTTCATACATGGAGTGAATGCGGAGATCAGCCCAAGTAAAATGACCACTCATTCCAGAGCTGACAATAGTAAAAATAAACTACTTCGTTATTGAGTGAATGGGATTAGGCTTTGATGGTGAGGCTGACACAGATCTTGAAGCAAGTTTGCTCATTACTGACAAAATCTAAACCACATTATTGAGAAGAAAACGCTGGAAACTTTTGACGGACATGATTACTCAAACAACATCTTCAAGAGCTGAACCCACCCACACAACTTATGCAGGAGTGATGTAATAGGCAGCAGCATGTAAAGGTCATCTATACCGCTTTAAGCTGGCACTGGCCAAAAGCTGTGGGTGGACATGGCAGTTGTTCTACTAGGGCAGCCCTAAGCATGGCCCATGGGCCAAAGGTCTGAAGATGCTTGAACTAGCTCCCCTGAAAGTTACCCTAACCCCACCCTCATCCAGTGAGAGAACAAACATATTTTCATACTATATACAACTTTCTGCATTAGAAAACTGTATTTGGGTGTCATTTAGTTACAACATATTATGAAATATATTTTTAAAAACAATTTCAAACCTACAAACCTACCTACCTTGTTTATTTGTATGTTGTTTTGTCTCTTTGCTCCTTGACCCACCATAAAACATCACACTACGGCCCACCAAGACAAAAAGTTTAGACACCCCTGTACTAGACATTTTTCTTCATTTTTCTGTTGAATAACAAAATTTTAGCTACAACCAATTAGCTCAGCCTCATTTAACAGCTTTCCATATGAGTTTTTTGAGCTGCTGTCATTTTCAGCACAATTCCCTCAATTTCTGACACATTGACCATATTATATTGGCAATAACAGTCAGACTCATTTTAAATCTTTTTATCCACATTTAAATCTACGTTAATCCACAGGTCTGCCTGGGCTCCTCCAAGTCGATTACAGCTATCTGTATGAGTCACATCGGTGCAGATGTAGCTGAATTCGACTAATTAATAAATAATAAAAAACTTCACTTAATTTAAACTAAAACTTAGTCCTCTCAGAGACAAAACAGTTTTAGAACATTTACCACAGAAAAACCTTCTATGAGGAACGAAGGCTGAGCATCTCGTCTTAAGAGAAGAGAGAAGTGAAGTAAAGCTTGTTTTTACTCACGCCTGAACTCGGCTAATCACAGCATGGCGTCCACAGCTGTTTCTCTCGGTTTCTTTCTTTCTTTTTTGTCTTGATGTCTTCAGTTCGCAGAAGCAACTCGAGGCAACTCCAGCATGCAAAATAGCTCCATCGTGGACAATTAATCAACTCAAGGAGTTTGGCCCCGGCTAAGAATAAACTCCGTGTTAAGTGAAGCTGCGGAGATTTGCCTTTTCTTCTTTTTTTCTAACGGTCGACTCGCCTCGCAGCTCCTCAGTCCTCTGAACGGCGCGAGACGGTTTCACAGTGAAGAGGCGGGAAAACAGAACTCCGCGCGACGCTCTCTGCCCGCATTCCGCGTACTTTCGTCTGAACTCTCTGTCCTTATTTCAGCTTTTTACTAACATTAATGCGGATGTGCGACCATGACAACCCCGTCCACGCGCCTGCTTTCCCGCAGCGGAGACATTATTTCAGCTCCCCCCCACCCAAAAAAAAAAAACCGCGCGCGTCCCCTCCCGCGAGCGGCTGAACAGCTGAGGGGGATTAAGCAGCGAGAAACGCGCTGCTGTTTTAATTATTGTGATTATTCGTCACTCTTAATCACTAATGAATAATTAAATAAATAAATGCGGAGTGAGGGGGTAATTACGTTTGAGCAGGTGGGCTGGGGTGACTTCAGGTAAAGTGGGACACTGTGAGTCTTAATGCTGCGTCTAAAACCGACCACTACTAAACAGACTAAGTACACTTATGACTGGACATCTATTGGTGGTGAATTACTTTTGACATACTATTTAGTATTTATTTATTTATTATTATTAGTTTGTTTGTTTTTTTCTCCAATTCAGTTGTATCCAATTCCATCCACTACTTAAACACGCTGTTTTTGTTGCTGTGCCTTTAATAAATGACCCTTAAATGACCTCTGTTCTGATTGGCCGCCCTGTATTGTGCCTCATTCAAGAAGCAGTGCAACCTGAAACACTATAACATCACTAAAGGTTGTCCGAAAGCTATGAGGCTAATTTAATGGTCTATGTCGAACAGATTTTGGGCGACTCCCATTGCTTTTTAGTTACTTTAGCATTGTAGCTCCAGTCAAAAACAAAAGAAGTCAAAATTTTGGACACTAAATGTGTCTTGGTTGATCGACTACATTTATGATAGAGGGGGGAAAATTGTGTACTTTTACTGAACAGTTTCACTAAAGTCAGCCTTTTTTAATGTGTTCGTTCAGGTCCCTGATGTAATTATATATTAAATAGTATGTCAAAACGCATACACCACCAATAGTCCATTCTTTTGTTTAGTATATGCAGCATAGCTGTATGCAGTTAGTGTCGCTGCAAGTTTTGCTTATATATTGAAGTGTGTGCTTGGAATTTTTGTTAAGGTTACACAAAGTCGAAGCACTAAGTTGAGCTAAATTATTAGCTAAACATTTGAAAAAACTGTAAGTTCCTTAAAATCTTAAAAACCTGTCAATAACTAGTTAATGCAACTAAAATCAGATGAAAACTACACAGTACAAACTAACATTAACTTGTTAGGTCAACATTAGCAAGAAAATAGCTAGCTGTCTTCACTTTGCGTCTGACTGGACGATACCAGAGGCGGTTTGTGAGGAGCCTGGCCACTTCCTATTTCACCCGTTATATTAAAAACAGGACTGCAAAACAGCAGAGGGCGCCCGTTAGCCAGTCAACAATGGATGGGAGTAGATGAAGCTCAACAGCTAAAAATGAAAAGTTAAAAGTTTCTAATCCAGAAAAAACCCAGGACTTCCTTTAGTTTTAGAAAGTAGAAGGATGTATTTCACTAAAAAAGAACAAAACGTACCTATATGTTCCTTTTTTCTACAGCAAACAGGCTTTGGGCAGCAGAACGCTGGCATTACTGCTACTGAGCGCTGATTAGTTGGCGAGCGGAGTAGCTCATTGGCTGTTCACGGACGTACATGACTTGCCGTTTTAAACTCCTATAGCACGAGTTTAAAAGCTCTTAAAAATATAACAGCAGTGTTAAAATGTTTTATGCTATTCAGTGTTCAGGAAATGATTGCATTCTTTTACGTTAAAAATGTTTAAGCATTTATAAACTATGATTTTGCTCAAATGCTCCATATTAAACCATTCATTTTGGACTTTCTCTGGCGTGGCCATGATTTAGTAAGGCGTGGGAACGGGATCCTAATGCGTGGCCACGAGATAATTAAGCCTTGACCACAGTTTAATAAGCCACGAATAGGATCTCGTTCTGTTGTAGTAATACTCCAAAAGGAATATTTTATCGGAACACTCTGGGATCTTCCTCATGAATATTTATATTCGTAGTAAGAAATATTAATAAGGTAGAAGAGTCCTATATAATGTGTACCCTTACAACTAAATAGCATCGTCTTTCATGAATTTAACTGACGAATGCATTTTGTTAAACAGAAGAAGAAACTATACAGCTTCTATTTCATGAAGTCTTTTCTCTGGAAAGACTTGTGCACGTATTTTGTCTAATTCAGTGAAATCTGAACTGATCCTTTATATCAGATACGTAGTTTGCTATTTCTCTATTCCAGTACACTTTACCGGAATTCACCCATAATCCTCTGCAGCAACTTGCCTGGACACTTACTTGGACAATGTGCAGTAAGAAGTAAGAAGTGATGCAATCTCTCCCTCTACTGGCTCTTTACGGACCTAACAGCGCTGAATGTTGCTGCTATTCCTCCGTGCAGCCTATAGGTGGCAATAAAGACCAGTCCGACTGGTCTGCAAGTGACGTGTGGGAGCGAGTAAGACAGAGGAAGAAGGTTTATTTTCTCAGTTTGTGTGTCTGAGTAATTTTTGTTAATCAGAAACAGTCATGTCGGAGAGAAAAGTACTGAATGTAAGTGGCTTTAATGCTCCTTTTCCTGCTTTGACGAAGTTAGTCGGTGTGGTTGATAAACCGAAAAGAATCCCAGAGTAATTTGATATTCTAATCTCAGTTAGCATTGTACGTTAGCTGGTCAGCGCACGCGCGTAGGTAGCTAGTTTTAAAATATTTTAACCTAGGTTAACTAGCTAACTAACGAGCAAATATATTTACGTTACTTGGTTTGTGTTCAGACCCTCTACTGTTTATGATTAAACTTTCTAAAAGTGAACAGTAAAGTGAAGCATAACGTCACCAATTGCTGACAGGACACCGATACTAGCTAAATTTAGTTTTCTGAATTCTTTTGGTTGCTTTTAAACACAAATATATTGCTACTCTGTAGTAAAACAATACCAGGCGTTTCCACTAATATTTCCTGCTTCAGTAATGAAAAAATATACGGATGAATACTTTATAAGAAATCAGGATATTATTTTGAATTGGCGCAACCACTGTAGTTCACTGCAGGATACTACACAAGTATTAAAAATTACTGTAAAGTTGAACAACAAATGTTGTAAAGGATAAAGCATAACGCTGTAGTTATCTTACAGTTTTGTAGAGTAGTGCTGTGGATGTTATTCAATGGTAGTAGTAGCAGCTTCAATATATATGTCGCATATCGTATTATAAAGAATAAAACATAACCATGTTTAACTTACAGTTTTATATGGTAATACTGTGGTGATGTTATTTACTGGTAGAAGTAGCATATTTTGCATTTTGATTTGTTCTTTAACATCTAACTGTACAATTTGAATAAAGTAGGTGCCTTCTGTTTTGATCAACATTCTGTAACATAAATATTGTCAAACTGACAACAGAATGCCACCTACTGTATTTGAAAGGTATTAACATATTTGTGAAATACATTGTCATAATGACCCATTTCTTCACACTTGTCTTAAACACTGTTATATCTCCATGTTTCTGTAGAAATACTACCCTCCAGATTTTGATCCATCTAAAATCCCCAAACTCAAACTCCCCAAAGACCGGCAGTATGTAGTCAGATTGATGGCTCCATTCAATATGAGGTAAGAGACTTGGAAGGAACTGCTAGCTGTCTGTTTTTTTTACTTGCTGTATATCAAAATTCAATGCTCAGTAGACCTCAATACTACTGAGTATCCAAAAATTTCATTTCATTAAAGCTGCACTGTGTAGGATTTCTTCAGGAGAAAAAACACACAAAAATACAGTGTGTGTGTGTGTGCTGTGGGTCATCCTGTAAAGCCGAAATAATAATGTAAAAGTTAGAGGTGTCAGGTTGGATTTCACAGAAGTTTTTTGAACAACGTCATACATCCTTACATATTACTGTCACACGCAGAGGCTCAAATAAAAGGTCTGGCTATGTTTAAGTCTCAAATCAGCATTATACTAATGAAGATATGATGACAGTAGTAGATAATTCACTTTCATCCTCAGAAGACACGCCCTTCACCAAGTTTTAACTCTTTCAACACGTTTGCAATCATCAGATTTAGCCCATGTTACAAAAAATATTCTTCTGTGTGTTGTGTACAATTACACCTTTTCACTAGAGAGGTCTCTATATCCCCAAAATCTACAAAGTGCAGCTTTAAATAAACAAATTTCTATGCCTTAGTAATCAACATTATCAGTGCAAGAGAGCCAATAAGTTACAAAATATAGACGGCTGATTGACTCTCTGAAATATGTTAGTCTGAAATCTGTTGCAGTCAGGAAATTTAGCCAGTTCACTGCACCTCTCACCTCTCGATTTCTGTCTCAAACCCCACATACTTTCACTTTGTAATTTAAAAGAAAGTATTGATTGAAGTATTGTTCAAGAATCTTTATGGAGTGTAAAATTTATTTATGCAATGCCACAGATTAACTGTGTAAATTGCATTTTCTGGTACTTACACATGCCAATCTCAAACTGCTTTTGTTTCAGGTGTAAAACATGTGGAGAGTACATATACAAAGGGAAAAAGTTCAATGCAAGGAAGGAGACAGTACAGAACGAGCAGTATTTGGGGCTGCCCATCTTCCGCTTCTATATTAAATGCACAAGATGTCTGGCAGAAATCACATTTAAGGTAAGATAAGGACTTTTTTAGTTCTCATGACAATTCCTACTCCTGAACATCATAAATGTTAGGTCTTGCCAAATAACTAAGACCTGATGGCTCAATACTAAGACAATACTGTTTTAGATGCTGTTCTTGCTGCTAATATTTCATCTTCATGATGAAAACAACTAATAATGATTCTTTAGTGATGGGCAACTTTGATGACTGATTCTACGGTGTTCATTGTGATAATTTGTCTTTGTTTCGCTTTTAAATAGACAGACCCAGAGAACACAGACTATGCCATGGAACATGGTGCGACAAGAAACTTCCAGGCTGAGAAACTTATTGAGGAAGAGGAAAAGAAAATCCAAAGGGAGCGAGAGGAAGAGGAGCTAAATAATCCCATGAAGGTATTGTGCTTCATTACTGTTATTTGTAGCATATCAGACTAATAACCCTGTAAATTCACAGAAAGCTGCAAATCTTAAGCAACCCTTGAGCATTTGTAGTATTATATGCATAATGAACTATATCAAGTCACAAACTTTTAGGATTTTTTTTTTGCCAACTACCAGTACATCTTCCCAAACTAAATCAGAATTCAGTGCAGTTATCAAAATGCTTTGGTGTTCCCGAAGGTTCTGGAGAACCGCACACGAGATTCGAAGATGGAGATGGAGGTTTTGGAGAACCTGCAGGAGCTGAAGGAGCTGAACCAGCGGCAGGCAGCAGTAGACTTTGAGTCTATGCTGGAGCAGTACAAGGAGCTGGAGAAGAGACAGAAGGAGAAAGAGCAGGAGGAGGATGAGAGAGAGACCAAGTATGCATAAAGCAATGTTCTTCTGTTTTCATTTTTGTTTTTGTTTTGTAAATTTTTAAAATTTAATTATTTAATAGAAAAGATGTACAGTACGCCGCGTAAGACATGAGAAAATGGTATGTGAAGCATTTATTTGGGCAGTAGGTGTTTTCACAAAAAACACTAACATTAGCATAAATACAAACAAACTATTTACTATCACCAGCAAATACCTGCTTCAGCTAGTCAGTCGTTCTTTAAATTAAATTAGGTGTACTGCTGATGAAATTTAACAAATCCATACAATGGCTGGAGTGCAAGAAAGACATGAACCAATCCTGTGTTCTTCTAATCAAGATTTGAATAGCTTTTTTTAAAAAAAAACAAGGCGGTAGGTATAGTGCGGTGGGAAGCACTGCAGCCCTCCACACAGCAGGCCAGGGTTCAGTTCGCTGCCTGGCCAAGCACATCACACTACACCAGTAAGAGTCACTGGGGAAGACTCCTAACATTTCATTCACCTCAGGGCTGGGCAGTATAACAACTGTCGTTGTTGTGATGTCACAGTATGTCACAATATGCTTTTCTGAGCATATTTTGGATATCATCAGCGCTTAAACAACACTTCCTAACTGCATGTTTCATTGCAAAGAGACCATATTTAGTGCTATTTATTTGGTTTTTGTGCAGTTCAGTGTGTCAAATATTGAATTCATTTAAATGTGCCACTGTTTTATTTGTTCCAACTTATCAGATCTCAGAAAGAAGAAATATTGTGGCATATCATAAAAACTTATTTGAGTATTGTGATTATTAATTTTTTGCCACATGGCCCAGCTCTAATGTCTGCCTCTGTAACGTGATTAAAACATTCTTGTTACCTTTTGCGTTACTTATGTTTATTTGTTTTTATTTACACATTTATATAGTATTTTTACAGACAAAAATACATTAATCACTGTGGTGGCAAGGTACTTAAATAGTTAAAAAAAAATTGTAATTGGATGACTGATAGTCTATTGGTATTCTCTAACTTAAACATGTTATTCATGTGTTCTCTCTCTCCAGGGAGATGCTGGAGAGGGCCTTGGTGAAGAGGCTGAGGGACTCTGACTCAGACTCTGATCAGGAGGAAGAGAAAGGAAAAGAGCAGCAGCAGAAGCACTCAGCTGAAAGACCTACAGACATCCTGACCACAGACAGAAGTACAGACTCAAAGGTACAAAGATGTTGCTGAAACACTGAAACGCTTTGCTGTCTTATTCAGTTCCATTGGCTGTTTATTGAGCAGTGTTAGTTTCACACAGTCAAAGATTTAAGGTGGTTAGGAAATAGATATTAAATCTGGCATGATTGGCCAAGTAGATTTGCACATAAAGCAGCATTTTTCACTCATAGGTTATATGTTGGCAGTGTGCCCAGGTATATGAACACCGGCCTAAGTATATTTCATGACTCTGCTTTGAAAAAAAGAAATGGTGAAGTCGTCCTGGCTGAATTTGCTTTCTCCTAGCTTGAAAGAATGCTGAGTTTCAGTTTCAACAAGAAGCTGTGTGTGAAGGAGGAGAAACTCATAGTTCAAGTACTTTGATGTGTGCAGATTCACAGAGAAGCATTTTGCGGTCATTAAGCTAGTTTAAACCTCACTGAAATACGTCAGATGAAATTGACTTTGGTCATTTCAGTGGTCGATATTTGAGTAAAAGACGTTATTCGAGTTTAACTCACAGTCATAAACTGTCAGGCATAAACACGTAGGTAGAGAGTAGCTTTCTGTAGAAAAGAAATTCACTTGGGTGGTACATCAACATTTATTCCTCAGCTCCTTTATGAATACCTAATGTCACATACACATGGACACATGCATAGCTGTAAACATTCACACAGCACATTGTTCTGCAGCCAGATGACAGATACAAATGCTGAATCAAAACTACTGGTGGGTTATTCCACACTGGATCGCCTATGTTAGTTCCTATGTGTTGTCATGGTGAATGGTAAAGTAGCATTAGTTAAATAGTAACACAAAAAAACACCTTTTGCTTGTGTTTTGTGTATTTTTTTATAATGACTTACGGCTTCATATACTACTCCCCTCTTTCACAGGTCCCCTCATCCACTGAAGTAAAGCGTCAGAAAGTGGAGAGCTGGGAGAGGAGTGTTGGGGGGTTGGGAGGCAAAAGTGCACTGGGCTCATTGGTAGTGAGGAAGAAACCTGCAGCTACAAATACAGCACAGCAGCCTGCAGCTGGAAGCCAGACAGGTACAGATACTTGAACCTATACTGCCTCATAACTATTGCACTGCTGAAAGTCCAACAGAAGTCATAGAAGTGGTATAAATGAATCTAGTTTGTACCACTGTCTGAAACTTGGGTCAAAAATCTTATACAGTCATGCAAAAGTTTGAACAGCTCTGATCAGATTACATGTTTGAACAGTTGTATGCGAACATTTTGATTCTGTTTGATTCTTCGTGTTTTCTCTAATGCGAGACATTAAACGTTTTAGACATATGGTTCCATCACCACCACTGTGACCAATTCTGACTATCTGAATTTCTTTAGAAAGGAGCATTTCACTGCATACCACTCCAATGACTTAGTTTACATCGTAACAACTAAATTATACAGAAAAAAAATCATCTTATGCCCAAAGTCAGGTTTGAGCAATAGGAAGAAAGCTAATGGACGTTCTTATTGGAAAATTCTAACTTTTGGCTTAAAGTATCCAGCTAACTGAGAAATCCTGCTTTATGCAACATCCCTTTAGTGTGATGCATTTGTTGAATTGTATTTCTCTCTTTCATCAGATGCAGCTGCTTCTAAACCTGCAGAGACATGTGCTTCAGCTACTGCCAGCAGCAGCCAAACAGGACCAGCTCAGAACGGTTCCTCTCTCAGCCTGCTGGGGGCGTACTCAGACAGTGATGACAGCAACTCTGACTAAGCTCCTGGTCTTTTAGTGCTGATGGATGTTTGATGTTAAATACTCGGAGCGCAAGGACCTTCTGAAGTTAAACGAAAGTTAAAACTTGGGCACATGTTTTTAAATGGCCTACCAGCTTTAGCTGTTGGACATTTCAACTAAATGATGACTATTTCTTGGACTAAATACTCACTCTAGATGAGTTATTATATAAATTGAAACGATTGATTTATTATAATTGAAGTAGAGATATGTTTCCTGAGAAGCGTGCAACATGTGAGTCAAGTTTTGGAAACATAGCGTTTGTGTACTTTTCACCTCCATAAACCACCACGTCATGCATCTCCCTCAAACAGATTTGACCATTGTTCAAGTCCAATTGAGCTTCTTTTGCATCATTTTCTAAACTGTCACACCACAAAGGTTAATATTATCTCAGTATACTCAGTTTTTGTGTATCATACAGCTGACAAACATCTTTTGTTTAGTTTGTCATTTTTATTGCTACTGTTTCTCTAAGCTAGACTGATAAGCCTTTCATTGTAGTGTATAAGTCTGTAATCCACCCTGACTTAGATTGATGTTATCTGCACAGTGTTACAGGGTGGTGTCAACCACAGGGAAGCGCAGCAGATGGAACATGCACTTTACTAAGTTTATACTAGGCTTTATTATAGGCTGGTATATCAGAGATCAAGACTAGTCCTGGACTAATGCTAGTAATTACATTCCCTCAACACTGAAACCCCCCTTAGTCTGAGAGTGAGATGAATATGCGTTTAAGAAACAGCCCGCAAGTGTATGGCATCATTTTTTCATATTTTATTTTGTCGATTACTTGTCACTTTCAAATTTTGTAACCCATGAAATTTAATTTCAGTACAAATATTAATACAACTAGTACATACATGATATTTGACAGAACAAATGTTAATTCTTTTACTAGTAGGAATTATGTTTTAGTATGTAAGGTGTCAGTTTTTAATCAGTAAGAATTGGGTTTTTACCTGTGAAAAGTGAAATGTGCTATTCATATATGTAAGCATTTGTACATTAGTGTCATTGTCACTTGTAAGTAATGTAATAATTAGAAACTTCACATGCTAACTTTTAATCCCTGTTAGTAAATGTTGCATTTTTTGTTAGAATGCAACTTTCACATGCCAAATTAAATATTTTACTAATATTAATAACACGGGTTAAACTTTATTTTGAAAGTCCCCTATAGACAATCTAAAGATGCTTAAATGGGAACTCCACCAGTTTTTCAAAATGTGTGCATAATTTAATCAGTAATATGTAAACAAAAGTATTACGAGTTATTTGATGTTCAAATCTCTATTCTTGAGTTATTTTCTGAGTCAGAATTCCTCACAGTGGTGGTGATAGGAACCAGACCAGAGAAGGTTATTACACAAAATGGTTATGAATACACTCCTTGTTGTCTGAGACATTGCTTTACGATATATTTGAAAGCATTTTGGCCCAGCATATTTCTCTATTATAGCTCCATTATAGCAAAGAGGTCTATGTGTAGGTCGTTGTAAGGCAAAGTAGAACCCAAATAATCTATTATTTTACCATAATCAACATTACATCTGAAAACTCAGCAGACGTAGGTTCAGTGGTGGTTTTGGGTAGTAAATAAAATAGCTATGTGTGTGTTGTAGACATTGCGACTCATGGTTCCTATCAGCACCACTGTAAAGAAAACTCAGTCCACTGTCTGGTGAAACCTTGTTAACTGAACAGGGTGTTTACTGTAACCTTTAATAGAATCTCCTAACGTTACATTTGACTTCAAGTTGGTGTGAAATTAACATACATGAATAATAATGTAATATAACAATATTCATGTATATTTAATTAATATTTTGTTAAAGACACGGTGAGCATCTACAAAGCCATTTGCAGTGGATTCTCAAAATAGCGTTCCTATAACATTTCTACTTGTTCAAACTGAATGTCTGAGACCAAGAAACTTTGGATAGAAACACTATAAATATTACAATTTGAAGCTGAAGAAAAGTAGGACGGCACATACTGTTGGATGAGATTTCCATACAGAACAAAGGAGACTGAAGCAGCTTGTGGGCTTTCCTACAACTCACTGCCGACTGTGTTTTAACCGGCTGGCTGCCATATCGTATTCCACACTCGGGTTAGGCAGCCAAAGGTACATAACGCCAGAGAGAGAGAGAGAGAGAGATGGGTACCAGAGTTGATTCAGAAGTGCCTTATTTCTAGCTGCTTTTAGCTCTTCCTCGGCAAGTCACTGGAAGGTGAGTGGAGTAATGTAAGTAACTTACCGTTAGCGGAGATGAAGTGTAATTTGTAGGAGTGTCAGGGTTGGTGGTGGCGTTTTGGGAGTTTGGTGATGGGGTTGAGGTTTGAGGGGTTTGCTAGTTACAATAGCTGATTATAGAGGAGTGTAGTTCGCTATCGACTGATTGAATTAAAATTTGTTCACACAAATTTGGTTTCATAAATAATTATTTACTGCGCTTGTCCTCGCCTATTGTAACAGCTTTCCTCTTGTATCTTTTCATGGTTTCTATTATTTCGAACGATAAATATCTTGGCTAGCTTGTTGCTAGCTAGCAAGGTCTGAGTGAATGTGGTGTAACAACCTTGCTAGCATGATATTGTGAATTAAAGGGATGTGAAGTTTTGTACTGAATGAAAATAAATATCTACAACGGGTTAAAGACTTGAGGAAAAATGTTGGCTTGTAATGGCCGATAATTCTTGCTGTGACGGTTCAAGGTGCACAAAGTGTAAGTTGTCCAGCTAGCCTAGCTGGCTAGCAATTGGAATACAACTGGACACAGGAAACTTTTGGGAGCTGGGTCATAAATGTCGGGGCTTGTTTTTGAATGAGATAAACTACCTGGCGGTTTTCAGACTAGGCTGAGTTTGGGAATAAATCACTGCGCCAGAAAAGAGCAGGAAGACCCGCCGAAGGCGACATGTGAAACAGTCATAAATGAAGGAATGTAAAGGGTTCGGGCAGGTCTGGCTATGGAGGCGTTGTCCTCCATGGGTCCAAGTCCATGTAAGTTGTTGTGAAAGTTCTTTTTCTCCTCTTTTCTAGGCTTCCACACACAGAAGTTAGATGTTCTAAGGCATCGATGAACTGGGCGTATTAAAGGTATCTACTGTTAGTCAGTGTTGGACAGAACACTTTGAAGAAGGTAGTGATGGCTGAATACACTGCCCTCAATGCATTCAGCAACGTGTTCCATCACAAAACATTGAAAGTAAATACATTTAGAATACATATTAATGAGGCACAAGGGGAAAACTTTTAAAATGTAATTCTGTTCTTCCCTGTCACTGGTTGACCGTTTTCTTCATGCAATCCTTCTTTTGATATGTTTCATGAAACATTCACTTAACATAGGTAATTTGCCATGAAACACATGCACAAGTCCAGTACAGCATGCCGAGCTTATCACTGAGACTGTTCAGTTCCGTCATAATGAGATTAATAACTGATCAAATCGATTTTATCAGTCTGCTCAGACTTTAACTGGATCTTTGTTGTTTGTAAAGAAGCAATTCATTGAGTTCTGCCATGCACCGATTTTAAAATAGTAAACAAGCATTGATGGCGTTCCTTTTTTAAGTTGGTATATATATATATTTTTAATCTAGTGGATAAATATTTAAACACATTTTCCTAAAATGTAAAAAGTAACTGTATTCTGAACACTGCCTTTACAATTGTAACTTGGACTAAATACAAGGACTCAATACATATCCCAAGTATTCAGTTACATTCCAACCCTGCAAATTCGTTACTTTTTGCCAACTTTCTGTGAAATTGAACAGTTTATAACTCAAAACTGCACTGTGGTGATCCATTTCAGTGTAACGTGAATGTTTATGAAGCCCATTCTGCCAGCTAAGTGAGGACAAAAAAGTTCATAGTCAGTGTACAGTTTATTGTGAGTCACACCCACTAGGTACACATTAAGCGTTAGAGTTTTTGTAGGGATGCACAATGCTATCAAATTCATATCGATATCATAGTCGTATTGCGTAAAAAAAGAAATATGATGATTTAGATGTGATTAGATAAGATTTGTATTCTGGAAGAGCAGAACATTTAGGTGATGCTGAGCGATATAGCAAAAAAATAATGTCACAAGAAATTTTTGCCATACATAATATGTCACAATATATAATCTTTTCTTACATCTGAAAAGTTGGAACAGACAAAAAAGCACCAGTAGTGTCACATTTTAGTGAAAACTATGACTGCAATTATCTTTTTTCAGCATTTCACAGACTGCACTGCACTAAATCCAGTTAAACAAGGCAAACTATACTCTCTTCATAGGCAACATGAAGTTGGCCAGTGCTCTTTGAGTACTGAGGACTTCCACAGTGTGCTCAGAAAAGAACATTTTGAAGTAATTTAGTACAATAACGGTAAATATTGTTATAATATCTTGCCTCATTTGCTACGCTATAATATCTGTATTTTATTTATTTTAAAATTTGTATTGCGTTTGTAACCCTGTAGTAGAGCTGGGTGACATGGCAAAAATATATCACTGTACTTAAAAAACTTTTCATGATACACAATATGCCATGGTATTTATTTTTTCTAATATCTGATAATTGGGAACTGACAAAAAAGAACCAAAAGTGCCATATCAAAAGAAATTACTATCAACAGCTTGTCAGTGTTCGATGTTGTCACTGATGATGTTGTTTATCACAAAAACAATAAATATATGTGACACTATATGACATACTGCTGAGGTATCAGCTTCTACTGGTTAGCACCAGAATGTAACTGGCAATGAAGTAGCAATTTTTTGGCTCCAGAATGCAAGTGCTACACTGTTTTAAAAGTAGGATGGAAATTTCCAAAAAGAAGCTGATGTATAGGAAGCCAACTTCAGCCTCATCTCATATCACTAGTGCAAAACTAAAGAAGCAGCTTCGGACACCTAACATGTCTTGAATGATCAGCTATAATGGGTTAAGGGGGAAAACTGTGTGAATTCGATTTTTTGCCAGACTATGTCTTTAAGCCTGTTTCTCACTGTACAGACCCATGGCAAAGTGGTTGAAAGATTACCTGAGTTTCGGCAGCAGGAAAGGACCTCCGCAGCCACCCAAGCCAGACTACACAGAGAGCGAGATACTTCGGGCCTACCGTGCCCAGAAAGAACTGGACTTTGAGGACCCGTACGAACCCTCAGATAACCGGGCACAGAACGGTCAGGGCACTGCTGATCCCTTTCCTGCATTTGGGACAGTTCTGCCCAACGGCGTGGAGGTCAAGATTGTGTCTCCTAAGCACAGACTGATAAAAGTGGAATCTCAAGAATTTGGGCGCTGCAAGATCCCATTGAGCATTGTGTCCTTTGAGGAGCCCCATGCCCCTGTAAGTATTCATTTGATTTATTTTACACATTGCTTGTACAGTCCTTGTACAGCTTAGGCAACATAGGCTGGATAAAAATGCTAGGCACTTACATGCAGCCTCAGCATCAACGATGGGGAGACCAATACCTATAACCGATACCATAATGCATTTTCTGGTGTGCATGCACATTTAGTAGACAGAACTTAACATGTCGGCAGTATGGGTTAACAAGAAACAGTGAACATGTTCATGGCAAAATTTGTAACAGCAGTGTTTTGTGGTAAGGCAATGGTAATGGGTGTTTAAATCAGTTGGAATTCTTTTTAAGGTATTTGTTTTTTGTTAATGTTAGTACAGGTTGTTACTGAGGTAGCAAATGTTGGTAGACATACAGAAAAAAAAAACTCTTACTGGCTGTGTTTGCATGCAAAGATTTTTGCCAATCCGATTGAATACATTCCGATTACAGATTTAGACTGAGGTGTTTATATGCTCACTCTATTCAACAACCTGATGGAAAATCTTCGTTTACATGCTCACTACAAGTAATCCGATGCAAAATGACGTGCATGCATGGAGTACCGCTTAGAGTAAACGATACCATGACAGCGAACATCACGTGAGGTTCCGTCCGAGTGAGATGAGTTTCCAGTTGGCGCTGGATTGCTTTAAAATGATGTCAGACTCAGAAAAACGTCCTTCACATGTACTTATAAAGGAAGCGGCGAGAGGAAGACATCGTGTTCTGAGACACATAAGCTGGACGCCCGTCCCATCGCCGTCTTTTAAAGCTCAGAGCATAAACTTTGTCTCCTCTGCAGACCAGTTTCTGCTCCCGCCATGTTGAACGGTATAAACATATTCTATTCCGATTGAGCTATTAGTCGGATTATTAACGGATTATTAGGCTGCATGTAAACATGGCTACTCACTTGGGTTAATGATAGCCTTAGTTTACCCTTTAGCATAGTTCATGGTTGCTTGGCAACGATACCGTGTGCTAAGAAACTACACTTCTTGCGGAATGCTTCTTTATGTTGATTATTATTAATAATAACAAATTATTGTCTGAAAAATGTGTATTTTATCATGTTTTGTGTTGGCCGGGAGTTTTAGGCACAGAATGCAAAGAATGCAAAGAACACCCTTCCCTATGATGAAATCGCAGTAATACATGGCCTGTTGCTTTTAAATTTATTTCTTCTTTTTCCAAGATTTTGGAGTGTATGTGGGAATTTTTGCACAATCACCCAGAAGAGCATTTGTGAGGTCAGACACTGATGTTGGACGAGAGGGCCTGGCCTGCAATCTTCGTTCTAGTTCATACCAAAGGTGTTTGATGGGGTTGAGGTCAGGGCTCTGTGCGGGCCAATCAAGTTCTTTCACACCAGACTCACCCAACCATACCTTTATGGACCTTGCTTTGTACACTGGGGCTCAGTCATGCTGGAACAGAAAAGGCCTTCCCCAAACTGTTCCCACAAAGTTGGAAGCATAGAATTGTCCAAAATGTCTTGTTCTGCTGAAGCATTAAGATTTCCCTTCACTGGAACTAAGGGGTCTAGGCCAACCCCTGGAAAAGAACCCCATAGCATTATCCCTCCTCTGCCAAACTTTACAGTTGGCACAATGCAGTTAGGCAGGTAATGTTCTCCTGGCATTCACCAAACCCAGATTCATCCATCAGACTGCCAGATAGAAAAGCTTGATTTGTGACTCCGCAGAATATGTTTCCACTGCTCCAGAGTCCAGTGGCGGTGTGCTTTACACCACTCTCCCCCCCCACTATCCCCTGTTTGGCATTGTACATTTTGATCTTAGGCTTGTGTGTAGTTTCTGAACCATGGAAACCCATTTCGTGAAGCTCCTAACATGCAGATCTTTTGTATCTCAGTATGTTTTGTTGGTGACACTTTTTTGGGAGACTTATGCTAGTTAGGTTATATAGTGTTAGTATCAGTTATTGGTACTCGCTATCAGCTGATATTTAAGGATCAGGTAACGGTATCGGAAGGGGAAAAGTGGTATTGGTACAGTCTGCACTAAACAAGGTAGATGTGAATGCACCTTGTATTATACATTGTAAATTGCATTATTGTAATGCAAGCACTTACTTATTAACAGACCTCTAGAAATGATCTCTCTCTCTTGCAGCTATGAACTGTCATTGATTGGGATAGTCTGTATCTCGTTGGGTCTATATCCTAGACTGCTGCTTGACCACAGCTTTTGTTTCCCTGTCTAAGCTGCTTGCCTGTAAGTACTATACATAAGGCTATTCTGGCTTAGAGAGTAGATGTTTTGCTAGTCTTGGTGTTGCAACAGTACAAAATAATGTAGATTTTGATGGCATCCATACCAAAAACACTGCTAAAGGACATTTATATTATATAGCTTTTTCCTGACGTTCCCTGAAAATATGACTGATGCTTTTGCCAAATTATGGTGCGTATGTTGGGCATCAGTACATATTTGGCAATGCAGGTTAGTCTGTTTTATTCAGCATTTAGGTTCAGCGGAAAGGTTGGAGAAAACCACTGAAATCACATGGGATGTCATAGATCTTGTAGTCCATGTTTAAGGTTTGGTAAATCTGTACCCAAAATGGTTGATGCTGAGATAGAATTGACATGTCCATTAGGGATGCACAGTGATATTGGAATCATTTTGGTGTTGGCACACATTTGCTTTAAAAATTGGATATTCCAAACTAATATTAGATGACGTACTTATTGTTTTCCAGAACCTTTAGGTAGCCCTTGGCTTCTCCTCTAAAATATCTGCATTTTATTCATTTTGGCACATTTATAACACTACAAAAATAAATGGCATGTCTTTTTAATGCTGATACAGGTGGATCTTGCCTAGGGCTTAAAGATTAAACGTTATGCTGAAATGATTTCAATGATTTGAAACAGGATAATCATCATTAGTGGTATTGGTGATATTCTCAACAACACAGAGTTGCAATGAAAATTTAAATACATGCTACAGTGCACTAGCTTGTACCAGTCCAATGGAAAACAAAATTTTGTCAAATAAGCTATGAGTCAGCAGTAGCGCGCAGTGTTTGCTGCACAGTGATTTGTGATTAGCCTTTTATCATGTCAAACAGTCTTTTCCTGTCAAAGCTGCAGTGATATCACTGCAGTAGTCGAGACCCTGTCCTAAGTGTCTGTATTAGAGATCTGATTTGAGGTGTTAATGTCAATTTTAATCACCCAGTGCAGTCAAAATGCTTTCCCTGCTGCTCAAGATTGGTAGCTAGCATTCTTTCCACTGCGTTTGTTTCTGAGAATAAATGACAGCGTGGTTAAAAAGACTCTGCTCACGTGCACTACTCAGTACTGAAATGTCTAAGCAACCTGAGCGAGGTTGCCAGATCAGGCAGGATCCCTTGGAGTAGCATTTTATGACATTTATTGTTTCAGTTATGTTTTTCCATTATCTTGTAGTATTTTAAGTTTTATTATGAATAATAATAGTAATAAGATATTTTTTTCATTTAATCATTAAAGTGAAACAAAATTTTATTTAGACAGAATATTTGAATATTGTAAATAATATTTGAAAATATTCAGTAGTTGCAGCCCTACAACACACACATCCATTCTAATTATTGTGCCAATGTTTTGTAAAGCAGTAGTTGCTACAAATACACAAGGGCTTTGTTGGAGCAGTAGAGTAAATTTTTTCATTTCACAATTTTTTATTTGACTTTGATTGGGTGTAAATTGAACGTATGACCCATGGAAAGTATCAAGCCACAATAAATTTGCTCCAGCGTGCACACACTGATTATCAGAGCACAGCACAATGGCAGTGGTGCATTACTTAGTAATTATCCTTTGGAGGCAATGAAATATTGAAGTGAAGAGAGACAGAGAGGGAGATTTGTATTCATTAACCGAGGAGCTGAGCATAATCTGTATCCCTGCTGGAACCACAGTGATTTTAGACGCACATTTCCTCTCTAATGCTTAAGCAGCACCATTAGATTAAAGCATATTAATAGGCCCTCCTAAGCCTCATGGCTCTGATGTTCATGAGCAACTAACCTAGTTAGCAGACAGGTTGATTGTCGAATAATGATGACCTGACTGACTCCTGAGAGCACCCAAGCTAAAACCACCCATAAAGTAATTTATAGACAGATTGTCAACAACGTGCCTTTGTTTGAACATATTCTTGCTCTACTTCTGCCAATTTTCAGTCCTTTGGCTGCTGCACTGATTTTTCTGTCATTACGCGAAGCTGATGGATCTTAACCAGTGGCCTTGATGAGGTCAGCCGTGCACTGACCTTTGCTCTGCCACTGTCTCGCTGACTCAAACGTCAGTGGTCAGGCACGCGTGCTAAACGAGACATGACTGCTAGAATGGAAACAGAGTTCGCCAAGCAGCAGCAGCTGGGGGAAAGCAAACAAACACATTACTTTGCTTGAAAAGTGGGTTAAAACTGGCCCTGAACTCACTCGACCTACACGCAACATCGCCCACATTATAGCAGATTGCTGTGGACACTGTGGGCCGACCCAGGCTTGGGCACGCAAAGAGCTAGCAAAGCCCCGATGGCCTTCCTCAGGCACGACTCAGCACTCAGAGCAGAGCATCATCATCGAACAGCTCTTTTTCTTGAGAAACATCTCCCTTCTTCCTCTTTTGTCTTTATTCTTGAGCTAGACTTAAAGCGATTGTTTGGCCAAATACTATACAGTTTTCCCAAGTTCACAGCAAGTTTAGTTGATGAGCCAAGAAATTGTTAATGTCAAGTATTTGCTTCTTTCTTTTGTTCTGGAACTACAAAGTGAATGTAGCTAAAAAGTAATGTAAGCTACTAGGCACCAGTTTAACATTGTGCAAACCGCGTAACTAAATTATCACAAGCTTTCCTCAAACTACAGTAAGCTTTTATGTAATTTCAGCATTATGAAATGGTTTCTTACACTATTGACATACTGCTGTCTAAAAAAATGGACATGCAGACAAAATGCAGGCTTTACAATGCCTGTTGCTGCTGTTTTTAGCCGTGCAATATACTGTTGTCAATTTTTATAAATAACAATACAGTGTCAGAAATAAGCAGGTCTATTTTCTGAGGGTTATACGTTATTAACCATTAAATGAATAAACAATTGTTTGATCACAGTTTGCGCACATGAGGGCACAACAGGCAGTTGGTTTCCATCGATGGTAACGGCTTTTGAGAGCTACTTGGCAAATAAAATATATTCATGATAATATGAGCAAAAGCTGAGTTGACAAAATGACATATACATGTCATATACAGTGATGGGCTACTGAAAATTCTATATTCTAAGGCTGTAAAGTTACATTTATCACTCATTACCAGCCTAAGTTAAAATAAACATAAATGCCATTACTAAGGCTAGCTCTGGCTAATTGTACCTCAGTATCTCTCGAAAGCCGTCACCGTCCACCACGTCCTTCTGATTTTACACACTCATTTGCTCACTCTGACATGCATCACTTTTTGTCTCAGGTTATAGTTCATAGCTCTTACTGCTTGTGGATGTTAGCTTTTAATATTATTGTAGTTGTGCTATCAGCATCTTGAAAAGTGCTGCTGAATGCACAATTTTTACCTATGTGCTTAATTAAGCTGGCCTATCTAGCGCCCTCATGCATACACGTCAAAAACATTCCTCAGCTTAAGTAATAAATCTGTTCAGATAGGAACTGATGTTTATTAGAAATTAAATAAAAGTTAAATTCTTCTGTTTTTTTGTTTGTTTTTTTCTTTTTTTTACCAATCAGTGAAATAATGATCTGTTTGTTGGTGAATAATTATTTGATTAATCATGTACATCCCCAGCTGATTGGTGTCTTTAGCTTTACATTAATTGTTAGCTACAGCATTCTTGGAGCTCCACTACGAAACTAAAGAACTAAACTTCCAACACCAAACGTGTCTTGGCTACTGGCCTACATTTGGGGTAAAACGGGGGAAAAGTGTCTCCTACTCACTTATTGTTTCTTTGTTTGTCAGTAATAAGCACTAAGATGTAAGTTTTGTGTTCCTTTACCCTCAGGCACTGATTAATCTTCCCCCCCAAAGCCTCCTTTTCTGTCCATCCATCTTTTGTCCACAGACAGTCCTTAATCTTATGCTCTCTTTTTTTCTTTCTCTCTCCTTCCCTCCCTGCCCTCACCAGGTGGTTCCGTCTGCTCCAGCAGTGGGGGACACGGATTACTCTGATCCATTTGACGCTCGTCCAGACCCGCGGGCCCGGCCTAGCTGGGATCACAGCTCTATAGAGAACAGCAGCAGCTACATGGAGCCCTTTGAAGCCCAGAGAGTCATTACTGGTGAGGTGCTCTCCACAGCAGCCTTGGAGAGTTACATAGATGTATGGAGAACATAAAGAGCTACATTAGCAGAGCCATTCAAAGAACAGGGCTGCATTACTGGGAAGAGTATTCACTCAGGAGGGTCTCTGTAGCAGTCCAGAACGAATTTGTGTAGGGTATATTTTACCAGGAGAGTAAGCTTGCACAGAGCTTATAATTGCATATGAAGAGCTTCTTGGAGCATTAGTGCCAAGTTGTTTTCACTCTTGATGAGTTCAGTCCATTTCTGAAAATGGATAGTGCTGATAGGTGTTGGAGATGTAGTAGGAAGCATTTGTCATAGTTTTTTCCCTGTAGATGCTGGTTTAGTATTACGTAACACTAAGCATAATTTGTTTTTAAAGTTAAAGCTTTGTTGTGACACATTTCATTTTGCTTCCGCAATGCATACTTAAAGATCAGTGATCCTGTGGTGTGCTTCCAGTCCTTGGAAAGATCTAGTAATTTTGTTTTGGAGTAAATGAATTGGTAAAAATGTAATATTTTAGTAAGAACTTTTGAGGTGGGAATTCCTCTCTCATCAGGTTTGAGGGGGCAGATTTGACTTTAATGCCTAACAAACTTCTCTGCATTAAATTTTAGTTCAGTGAGAAAACAAGCAGAGTTTTTAGCTCAATTGATGAATCAGCTTCAGTGCCTGAAATCAAGCGGCAACCTGCCAGTATATTACGTACGTAGAATTTATATGTTGCACACCATATGCACATGTTTTGGTAGGGAATAAAACAACAGCATTCAGCAGCTGGTGAGCCAGTGGCTGTGCCTGTAGGCGGAGTTTGAGGTTGAGCAGTGACTGCACTGCTCCCCCTACTGACCAAGCTTTACAGTGTAAAAATAACAATGACTGGATAAATAAAATGTGATATAAACAAAATGTCTTAGGTTTTTATAAGACGGTAGAATGATGTGATTGTGTAGTTTGAGTATTATATGTATAAAACAAAAGCAGTGTAATATGTCTTGAAATGAAACATAAAAATGTTGCAGTTTTTGGTTATAACCAATGTACATTTAAAAGTAAGTACATCTACTTTAGTACTAGATTGCCATATGCACAAATTATTAGTATTATTGTTATTTTCTGCTTTTATTTTCATCATTGGTATTATAGATGATACTGAGAAGTTTTGGTTAGTTATCAGCAAATCAGACATTTCCTTTAGTTCAATGGAACTGTTTACAATAACAGAATATGAGAGAGAGAATGTTAGAGAGTGAAGAAGAAAGCAAAGAGAGAGTGAGAAGTAGGGGAGAAAGAGAGAGAGTGAAGGGACAAAATGATAGAAAGTGCCAGTTGAACTGGTCTGCTTATTCGCACAGTGCAGCTTCTCACAAGCTCTGAAGGGTTTGTAGTAAGTGTAGACAAAAAAGTACTTTAAATGCCTTTGCTTCTTGGAGGCTTTAATAGGCTCTTATTAACAACTTAATAAAGCACTTAATTTCTGCGTAATTATAGTGCTGTGGTTGCAAATGGACGGCATACTGCCTATTTTATTACTGCTGATAGTAAGATAAAAGCAGTTCCTTATCTAAAATCTAGTGGACTGTTTTTGTTTCCATGCAGAGCTGCAGCACAGTTCAGAGCGCGGCCGCTCTGGCTCTCGAGGCAGCCCTCAGCTGTATGACAGTCCATACGAGGAGCGGAGCCGCCGCCGGGCAGCCCCCCAAGACGATGAAAGAGAGAGCCGATTGCCCCAGGATGATGAAAGGCCAGCGGACGAGTACGACCAACCCTGGGAGTGGAAGAAGGAGAACATCTCCAAAGCCTTTGCTGGTGAGCTTGGCCAAAGTCTTGGGGCTGCATTATGTATGAGAGGGAACAGAATTGTGCCAATCAATCTGGTGGTCATGTGAGACCAGTGTTGGGCAGAATAATTTGAGAAGGTGGTAGTGGTGGAATTTTGAATACACTGTTCTAAATGTAGTAACGTATTACGTTACAATACATGAAAGAATTACATATTCAGAATACATGTAGAATACATATTGATCAGGCACAAGGGGAAAACTTTGCTGTTGTAATTTTTATTCAGTTCACACTTTCTCACTATTACTGGTTGTCAGTTTTCTTCATGTAATTCTTCTTTTGATATGTTTCATGAAAAAATCACAAAATTCACTAATTACAAAATTACAAAATTCTCAGTATTATTTTGGCTCTCATCACCTTCTTCAGTTCACCACTACTCCCATAACTCATGAGCCAAGTTTCACGAACTAAGCAAACAGTTCACCATAGCCCAGTGACAAAATCTTGTGAATTTATTTATAAAGTAGTTAGATGTGTGATTTTCAGTTAATAGCACATATGTAACTTGCCATGAAACACATGCACAAGTCTAGTACAACACTGATGCTAAGCGTATCGCTCATAAGCATGTTTACTGCTGAGGAGACTGTTCAGTTCCATCATCCCTCAAGAGTTCAGTCACACTGAGATTAATAAATGATCACAATGATTTATCAGTCTACTCAGTCTGTAACAAGAGCTTCAGTGTTTGTAAAGAAGCCATTTATTGAGTTCTTCATTAAATGCCATGCGCTGATTGTAAAATAGTAAACAAGCATTGATGGTGTTTCTTTTAAAGTTGGTATATATTTTTAAAGTTAGTGGATAAATATTATTGTTAAATATTCTCCTTAAATGTAAAAAGGAACTATATTTTGAATAGTGCATTTACAGAATGTAACTTGGACCGAATGCAAATATTTAATTTCTGTGTTCTGATTACATATTCCAAGTACTTTTATTCCGTTACATCCCAGCCTTGTGTTAGGCTAAGGCTAACCCCAAATGACTGGCCATTCCTTTATGACCGCTGCCTTGAAAACAAAGTGGACTATTTCACATGAAATAAATTACATAGCAGGAGGTGACTGAGAGACTGCTGCTTTTTCATTTAAAACATCCCTGACTCAGCCACTCAGCTAACGTTAGTGTGATATGCACTGTTTGTATTGTGGCTTACTAGTTGAATGGTTATGATGGAACTCAAACCAAAGAAATAATTTCAACCAGAATATCACCCACTACTAGTTTACACATGGCTGCTTCACATATCCTCTGTTCATTTTAAACACTCGTTGTGTGCATGCTTAGAAATGAACATGACACATCCGTGAGATGAAATACCAGCAGTGGAGGCTGTATACCACGATGTGATGTGATGCCAGCAGCAGACAGCTCAAATCATGGCAACAGCCACTTCTGTGGGCTGTTTCTCAAGATAAACAATAATATAGTTTCCCTAGCAGTTATCATGCTCCTTGTGTACTCATTGCTGTGTAAATTAGAAGCAGTAATAAAGGAAGGTAATCCCATGCCAGCTGGGAATAATACAGCCCTGACCTGCTCCCTATTGGAAATAGCTTTTAATGCTCCAGATGGACAAAAAGTAGTGGGACGAGTGATTGCATAGCTGCTGTGTATGTACACATTTGTTCTGGGTAAAATCAAGTATGCTGCTTAATTAGTAATTAAGTTTCTTTAACAACACAGTTCAGTTTGGGAAGTGTAAAGATTATTTATGTGGCTTGAAGACACGGATCCATTCACACTTGGCTCAGCTGAGATTGCATTGCATCTCAAATCGCCTCCTGAAGTGTCTGAGCAGTTGGAAAGTCTATCTCCACTGTGTCTTGGTTGCCTTTACACTTGGCTTGTTCACCATCAGATAGCAGTCAGATCAGCCGAAGATGCATGAAGGAGCCAAGTGTAAATGGGCTCTTGTCATGCTAATAAAATGAGTAGACTCAGACTCAGTAGAGTGAGTTTTCTGCTTTGCTAAAATATTGTCCAAGCCTGGCTATGTAAGTAAACTGAATCAGTAGCTGATTGCAATGCATCCTGCATGGCTAAAAGTATGCAGACACTCGTCTTAGTTACCGAGTTCAGGTGTTTTAGCCACATCCCTTGCTAAAAGGTGTATAAAATCAGGCACATAGCCATGCAATCTCTGTAGACAAACATTGGCAGTAGAATGGATCACGCTGAAGAAATCAGTGATTTTAAATGTGCTACTGTTAAGGAGGTCATTTTTTGTGAAATGGAAACATCAGCAGTTCAGCCATGAAACAGTAACAATCGCCCAACCTCTGCTGCATTGCTCCAAACAGATTTCCAGACTATCTCTGGCAGCAACATCAGCACAAGAACTGCTTGTGCTATGTGCTATGTCAAGTGTCAGCTGGAGTAGTGTAAAGCACTGGACTCTGGCACAGTGGAAACATGTTCTCTGGAGTGATGAAACAGATTTCACTATCTGGCAGTCTGATGGGCGAATCTGTGTTTGGCGGATCTTATCTACTGGAATGCATAATGCCAGCAATAAAGTTTGGTGTAGGAGGGATAATGGTCTGGGCCTGTTTTTCAAGGTTTGGGCTTGTGAAGGGTAAAGGTAATGCATGAGCATACAAATACATTTTAGATAATTATATGCTTCTAACTGCGTAGCAGCAGTTTGGGGAAGGCCCTTTCCTGTTGTAACCTGGCTGTGCCCCTGTGCAGAAAGCAAAGTCCATACCGACATGATTTGATGAGTGCGGTCTGGAGGAACTCAGGTGGTCCGCACAGAGCCCTGACCTCAACCCCATGGAACACCTTTGAGGTGTATTGGAATGCTGATTGTAAGCCAGGCCTTCCTGTCCAACATCAGTGCCTGACCTGACAAATGTTCTCTTGACTGAATGGGCACAAATTACAACAGACACACTCTGAAATCTTGTGGGAAGTCTTCCTAGAAGAGTGCCGACTGTTATGCCGCAAAGGAGAGGCCAACTTCATATTAATGTCCATGGTTTTGGAATGGGATATCCCTCAAACTCATATAGGTGTGATGGTCCTGTGCCCACATACTTTTAGGCGTATAGTGTATTTTACATAGCTGTGCAGCCCTTAACTAACATGTTTTGTTTAGCCCGGACATTGGAGCTGAACTGTGGTGAAACCGTGTCTCTTCAAATGGAGCAATTAGGGCTCATACTTGGCTGTAGGGGGAATGATCTGGCTGTGCTGCAGTTTTGTGCTCGCTTTTTAGATGGTATCTCAGAGAAGATTATAGGCAGGATGGAGTGTCCCTGTTGGGAAATGTGGGAGACAAGATGAACTGTTGGGGGGAGGGAGGTGGAATTGAGAGGGAGGAGAAGAGAAGAAAATGGAGGTGACGGGAAGGATAGCTCAATATGGACAGATAAGTAAGAAAGAAACCCATATAGAGATGAAGAGGGGAAGAAAGTGTAAACAGTACAGAGGAAAGAGCAGGAAGGAAGGTGCAGTGGGCAGTGAAAGAGGTAGAGTGATGTATCTGGAATTTGGTAACAGTACCAAAACAGCCTTTTTATATTTGATGGATTTTTTTTACATGCGGCTAAGTGTACATTTTAATGGCCTTGTAAAAAGCATGCATTGTCTATACGTACCTTCCTGATAAAGCACTCATTTTTCATGCATGTGAAAAGGTTCTATCACAAAATGACTTTATGGTGTTAAATTAAGTGGTAGAATGACTTAGGGATGGGCAGTATGATGATATTTATCATTATCGTGATAATTCATGTCTCAGTATGCTTTTCTGAGCATATTGTTGATATTGTCAGTGCTTAAAGAACAGTAAGCAACTGCCTATTTTATTAGAGTAAACAATTGTATTCATAGTTTTGATAGCATTTTCATTTTAAATTTTAAATATGGTACTCTCTTCTCTCACTTTCAATTTATTAAACCTCACAAAAATTAAATATCATACATATGGAATTTTACAAAAATGTTTTGAAGTATCATGATGTTATATTTTTGCCATATCGCCCACCTCTTAAATAGCCTTATTGGGTCAGGATTACTTTTACTTGATGAGGTAGGGTAATGTAATTTTCACTGGTGTTTCACAGTAAAGATTCTGGCACCTTTCACTGTCTATCAAATAAGCTGTAGAAGTAACTGCAGGTTATATTAATTGCTGTAAAAATTGATTTCGCCAAAAATGCTTTTAAAAAAAGCTTTCTAAAAAAGTTGATATTGCGCATATAAGAGTACCACTGAGTTTGGCTTAAAACAGTAAGTAGTTCAGCCTGTTACAGATATCGCTGATACGGACAGCAATAAAATCACAGGGGATCACCCATAAAAGAGGAAATTACCACTGGACCCCATAGACATTTAATCCTATTTGAATATGGCTCTTTAATCTGATGGGTTAATAAATGTAATAGATTCTGATCCATCAGCTCCATGTCCTACTGAAGAAATACATAGAAAAGAGAAAGGGGGAGCTGTAATAAAACAAAATCAGTCATGCTGTGGGATACCTATTCTCTGTCCTGTACATCTCTCAGCTCAGTGGTCTGTCTGAACATGCACATGCACCATCCATTGCAAAATGCCTAATGAGACTAAAGCACGCAGCTTCAGCACCGGCCCTGACATGACTTCTAGCACACACCCCCTGCTGAATACACATAGACACCCTTTAGCGCTGGAACATGTTCACCTAAGATAGTTGTCTTAAAGAGCCCACATCCTACATTTCTCTTGGTGTTGTTTTTTATTTATTTTTTTGAATTCCTTTATGTCTACTTATTCACTTATGATGTTTGTGTGGGTATAAATACCAAAAATAGTCATCATTCATTACTAAATTGCCCATTTTTATCAATTACAATTGTTTTAAGGCTGGCCTATGTAAAGTTATTATAACCTATGAAAGTCTGTTATAACTGATTGGCCGCTCTGTATTCAAAAAGCAGTCTGGGCTGAAACATGCTTTATAACATCAGCGTGAATGGGCAGAACTAAACTGCTGTAGGCTGAGTAGGTAGATGTATGTAAATGCACTAATTTTCGTGACATCACAAAAACAGTGAGTTCAAAATGGGCTGTTTTTGAAGCCTAGTTTCCATATATATCCTTTTAGTGGACTGTGTGAATTGTACATGTTAAAATTTAAATAAGATTTAAACAAGATGATGCAAAAAGCAACCCTAGCCAAGCTGGACATGAACCTTGTTGGCCATTTCATTTCAAAAGCAACAAAGTGTTCACTGATTTGTCATTTCCATACCAGGAAACCTCTCTCATAATTTAATGAGAACTGCTAATCAGGGGCCATCAGACACTAGGTCATCTAATGCTGCCATGCATGCTTTCTCTTTGTCTAAGTGAGCAGCCGTGGTGTGCCTGTCAGATAGGGAGTGCTAAATTGGTCTGACAGTCCTGCAGGGTGGTGAGTCACGTAGAGAGCCGGAAGGGAACTGTCCAAGGATGGCTTACAGCAGGGATGCATGGTTCACAGTGCTTAAGTTACTGCACCATTCTTTCTTTGTAGAGTTCATATATGATGACCCACTGACCTTTTGGTTGCACACATTGTTCACAATTAGCCGTTTTGAAAAAAGGAGAGTTGTGTGGGTTTGAGCTTGCATTCAAAACAAATAATTTCTAGGTGGTTCAGTGTAGAATACATCACAAATACATGCCAGGCATCCATGTCACCTTGCCTCAATACAAACTGCACAGCTTTCTGCACGGCCATGGAAGCTAAAAGAGCAAAGATGCATGAGAAATCACACTTCTGTAGCACCATACAGCATTTGAGCAGCTGAGCTTCAGTTAATATTGTTAACTGTTAATATTGAACTGCAGTAATGAACAGAACTAAAAGCTATAGGATTTCATAATTAACCATCATTTCTATGGGTGATTTTGAGAACAAGTGAAACAATATTGTAAACACGTGTCTTCAGAGCCAGAGATTTTGTGAGGGAAAGAGACATAAAGTCAAACAAAACAGGCAGAGCAAGATAGTATAGGAGAAAAACAGTATATGCACTAGAGAGAGAAGTGGGGGATGGGGGTGGTCCAGGGGGAGTTTGAGAGAAAAAAAGGCAGATAGGATTTAGCTGATAGCCTGCTGTCAGTCTGTAGAGAAATGCCCTCCCCCCTTTCCTTCCATTGATCCAGTCAGCCAGATGAAGAAGAGTAACAAAGATGACAGAGGCTGTGCAACCATCCCATTAAAAATAATGCAGTTCACAAGCTATATTAGTCACAATTGCAGCTCTTAGTCATTGCAGTGAAGTGCAATAGAACCGACACAGTTTCACTTTGGCATTAGGTAGAGTCATGCTTTAATGGTTTGTTCAGCTTGACCAACTTTTTATGTTACATGGATTTTTCCATTTCAGGTCTGCACAGCTCTGCTTTATCCTGGCCTAGTTGAAATGTGGTTGATGTCGTCTGTGTTTTTAGTTCAGTTTGATGGTGGTGACTGGGACCGGTCCACGTTGCCACACGTGGAGCAGCAGAGGAGAGCCGGACCCTCTAGAACCAGCCCTCCTTCCAGCAAGGCCACCAGCCTGCGCAAACCAGGAGACCCCCACACCATTCTTGGAGAGAGAGTGGATCCTACCCTACCACTGGAACAACAAGTGTATGTATTAATAAGGCAGTAAGCCATGAGGCCATGTATTACAGTGATTTTTCCACAATTAAGGTACATGGTAGACACAAAAAATGTGATGTGTTTAGCTATTAATAGAAATCATAATAAACAGTTCTTCAGCCAAGCAGTGTAGTTTAACAGTTGGCTGTGGTTGAAAAGCAGTAACAGTCAGAGATTATTCCACAAACAGTGCAGAAGTTTTTAAAAACTCTGCATGTTAATACAGAATTTGGTTTGTATTCATACATGCTTATATTAAAGCAATAAGCCACAATAGGCCATGTGTTAGTGATTTTATCACAATGCTTTGCATTATGTCTGATACATTTAAAATCACTGTAATGTGCAGCCTCTTGTGGCTTATTGCTTTTATAAAATTTAAAATTTTAAAAAATATATGATTTTTTAGTAAATATTTTAAGTTATTGTTGGCAAGCCACCATGGACTGCTAAAGGATGGCAAGAATGTTCAGTCGCCTGTCATTAAATTGCTTAACTTGTTTTTGTTGTATCATAGTGAGCGTAACGTAATATAGCACTGTTAATGCAAAGAACACTTAATAAGTGGTCTTTACTCACCAAATTACCCTGACACTGTAAAAGCTAACTTCTATTATTTTCCATGATTTTCAGTGTTATATTAGCACCAAGTTAACTGTATTGTACCCTTATCCAATGCTATATATACCACACACTACGGATTAAAATACTACTACATATGTAACAAACAGACATGTGGGATTCAGCCATGTGTGCACAGGAATTTGCAGCATTTAAGACATCGTCATATTCTTTACTTTTTATATTGCAGTTTTGCTTTGAATCCTATAGTAAGTACTTTAATTCAAAGTCTTTGATGACAATGGAGGAGGTGTGTAGCCTGTTAGCTAGCTGATCAGCCTAGTTCTAGTTGGGAGAATAAGAACAAAATTGGTTTCTTACTTCTTCATTCTTCATTACACTTGGTGGTCCATGCAAGCAGCGTTACAGTATCTATAGTAGTTACAAGCAGAAGTATTTTTAGTGACTTGATGCAGTAATACAGAATTCAGTTGTAAGGCAGTTTTAAGTGTGTGTATATTGAGTGTTTTAGAATGGCTTTGAACACAGCTCAGCAATTTTAAGAACCAGAACGATCCACTTTATAAAGAGACTGTGGGTTTGAATTTGATTCATTCAGGTTTTAAAACCAGAATTATCTGTTTTATAAAACTCCTTTTGTCCTGTGTGGTCAGAATATTTTGGACTAGATGCCACGAAAGCCTGTTTATACAAGTAGCTCAATCGAATATAGACATTTTATATAGTGTTTGTGATTTTTCACACCTATTGCATGCATCACAGTCGAGCACAAGCAGAAGCACGACAGCTAGCAGTGAGCTGACAGCATCTTGGCAATGTTGTGACATATCACGGCCTTTGAAGTGTGTCTTAAACGAGCTTTGGTTGCAGGTACCTTCATCAAAAAGCTCTCTTCTAAGGCAATGACTCGTGAGACAGCATGGGAAGCAAGGCACCCAGATATCTGCCTTCACTTTCAGACCGTCCAACTTTTATCAAGCCATATAATCTCATATGGTTACTAACATAGGCATTATGTGTGTCTGTTAGGTGGTACCACGGCGCACTGACACGTTCTGAAGCAGAGACTCTGCTGACGCTGTGCAAAGAGTGCAGTTACCTGGTGAGGAATAGTCAGACCAGCAGAAACGACTACTCCCTCTCCCTCAGGTACTACAGTCTGACATCACACCTCAGCTACAACAGTGACCATCTCACATTCTTATACATACTGTAGTGAGGCTGCATCAGTCTGATGCACTGATCTGAAAGTGGGGCTTCAATTGCATCGATTTTGGACTAATATTGTTTGTAATCAATTATAATTATACTTGAAAAAAGTATAGTAAGAGTATAAAAGAGTTTGAGATTTCTTATTTTTGAAATAAGAGCTGGATGTAGTATGTAAACATTGTTAAAGTCCATACAGTCCGTGGAGATTAAACTGCAAAAATAGCCAAATTTAAATTGTGTTTCTGTGATGTGATGACAACCAACACAGTTACATATATCCACCTGTTTATCCTACAGCAGGTTAGTTCTGCCAATTCAAACTGAAGTTATAAGGAGTGTTTTAGCCCAGATTGCTTTTGAATGAGGCACAATACAGGGCAGCCAATCAGACCAGAGGTCATTTACATATTTCAGTCTGAAAGGCACAGTAACAAAACAACCTGTTTAGTTCTAAGGGTGAAAGAGAGTTTGGAAAATGATTGTGTAAAAATTAATTATGACTGTTTTTGGTACATAAAACCATCTTTATAAGTGAACTTCAAGGTAAAAATAAAATGAAATATATATAAATATAATTTATCTGCAAATTATAGTCCACAATTTCTATTTTTTTGCTGAATTTAATATACTGGAAAATGATAAAACATAACATATTAAATATGGCCATAACTTTTGCAAAGGCCAAATTTTCTGTTTTATTTTTTTCCAGTATGTTAAATTTATCAAATAAACAGTAATTGTGCATTAAAATGTGCAGAAGTGTGTTCTCTGTAGAGGATGTTTAAACATTTTTTCACATAGAAAATGTACAAAACATGTTATTTGACCAGGGGTGCCCAACCTTTCTATCCAGCTGTACACCACAATACTGGAGCTAAGCCCTCACACTCTCTCATGGTTAAATAACGCACACACTCAGCACCTAATAGAGTAATACAGTCTTGCAGGTGCTACAGTTACAGACTCATATTGCCACTCTGTCAGCAAATGCAATAATGTGTTCTCTTGCACTTTCTTGAGTAGCTCAGTAACATACTCTGTCTGAAGTATTACGGTTATATTTCTCTCTTGCACTCACTTGCTTGCTCTCTCTCTCGCTCTCTCTCAACTATTGATCCACTCACACACTTATTGAGCCCCTGACCCCTGCTGTTAATGCTTGTTAATCATGGTATCCCAGCTAAATCTTCAGTTAAGCCTGCTCAGACAGTCACGGAACAGTGAGACTCAAGCGTCTGGAGCCTTTTCAGAATGGCTTTGTTCTTTATTGTGTGCTGTGTCGGTGGGTGGTTGACATATCTTGGCAAGTCTTTTATGAAGTGTCAAGATGTGGTTATATTAATGATATGAGTCTATACAGCTGTGGTATAGGACTACTGTGATATCTGGATGTGTTGTTTGTTTTTTTGTGTTGATACCATTATACTGGATCGATATTAAATGAATGAGATAATGGTTAGACATGACCAATCCATTTCTGATACTGTTTCTTAGTTGAGATTGTAGCCAAATTGTGCTTCTCAAACCATGTAATTTACACTTGCCACTATGGGATGTTAGACTCAACTGTAAATTTGTTCTATATACAGTAGTGTACAAAAGTCAGAGGACACACTTTTTATTTTTTCTTCTTTTTTTTTTGGTCAAAACAGCCATTAAGGACAAGTTATTCATTCATCAGGACACGTTTCTGAAGAGTTTACATATAAGATCATGCACTTGTATAAGGAAGATGAGGAAAGTCAAAGGAAATAAATGGGGAAAAAACATGAGTTTCCAGTACTAGAGTTCAAAATATTTATTAAAAGCAGTAGAGAAAATGGGACTCCTAACAACTGTGCAAGACCTAGCAGACACTGTAGGCATTATGCATAATTCAGAAGCTGGAAAATTTGGTTTGGTGCCGCAAAGAGGAGAAAGGTGTGAAAGCATATTCGTCATCAGAGTTAGATGTGGTTTATTCTTTGCAAGTAGCCAGTGAAGAATTTTCCACTGTTTTCACCTGTCATTATGCCTGATGGATTGTCAAGCATTGCACCCCTGTGGCTATATAGATAGTAGAGATATGGCTCATTTGCTGAACAGCATTTCAACCTGCGGTTCAGTGGTGGCATTTTTTCACGCTACATTCGTTTTACTCATTTAGACATTTAGAATTTGAAAATTCAGATTTCGAAACTGATACTACTGACTGACTGTTTTAAGCATTGCAACATGCTTTTGTCTACTTTTACACTATGTCATGCAGTGTCCCACCACATGTGGAAGTATTTAGGATTTCTTAACAAGTCAAGCCTGAGATTATTTAGAAATGCAGTTAGGACAACGTTTACTGATGGCTGTAAGTCATATCATCCACCCCTCTGTTGAGCTTGCTAAATAGTTGTTTGCTCAAACATCAGCAAAGTCAGATTGACTTCCTGTGCTTTAGTTTTTTGTGAATACCACAACAGCATTGTCCGTAGTGTCTCAGCGTGCCCTGTGCTTAGCTGGAAGCAGTGGTTTTGTTTATTGCTTCTTGAATTTCATGATGCTAAGTTGTAGCAGCCAACCAATCACTGTTATTTCCTCACAGTCTGAAGCAAGTAGAATTCCACAGTGATAATAACCATGGATTAGTGGTTATTTTGGTCATGCCTTATTTATTTGTCGAATCAGATTTCTCAGTTTTCAAATCCTGGGTTTTTGAATCCTTTCACTGCTGTGTTCTAACCCCCCCTTTCCTCTATTTGACCTTCCTCTCTCCTCTTCTTCACCCATGTTCTGCGTTATCTCTCTCTCTCTCTCTCTCTCTCTCTCTTTTTCTCTCTCTCTCTGTCTCTCTCTGTCTCTCTCTGCCCATGCTGCTAGCAGTGTATGAAAAGACTAATCCTGTACAGCTGTGTCTCTGTGTTTGCACAAAGACTGACTGGCTCAGCAGAGACAGCATCCAGGGACGAGGGACAATATCACTGTGACTCAGTTCATCATTTTCTTGTTTTCCCCTGTGAGCGTTATAGCTCTGCATTTGTTTTATGCTTTCACTCATTTTGGTTCTCAGCCTGCACAGCATAATTGCAGTGATTGCTTACAACTACACACAGAGCATTTAATGACAATCACATTTAATTGGATTGAATTGAACAATATTGTTCTTTTCAGAAGACTTGAGACAGTGTTACAGATAAATAGAAAGTGTGTACTGAAATCAGATTCTGTCTTTATTATAACAAATGTGCCTGGTTCTCATTCTTTTATCTTCCGTCGCTCTTCATCTCTGTGCACCTCAGATTCTTCTTCTTTGTAAATACTTTTTATAGAGCTACATGATGAGAAATATCTATAACCTTAACTATTAACAAAAAAAAAGTTGAGACAGCTGTTATGGGTATATGTGTAAGAGCATAGCCAGTAAGGGCTATCTACAGGCCATTTATATTGAGGATTGGCCCATATGGAATTTCTGGGCTGTAAAGCTGGCCCAGATTGTTTAAATATTAGAGTATTCATTCATTATGTTGCTTTTCGTGTCTGTATTTAGTATTTGGAAGCTTTGCTTGTTTTTTTTTTTTTTTTTAAGCTGCAAAAATTGTAACCCAAAATCAGCAAATGCTTGTAGACAGAATAGTTGTTGTTGATATATAGAACTAAATAAATTATAGTAAAATGCATCTTAAATTTATGCCAGCGAACGTCACCTTGCCTCGAAGTGCAACAAACTGCACCACTTTCCACGTGACCCTTGAAGCTCAAAGATGACTGAGAAATGATATGTGCAGGAGCACCTACAGAACGATAAGAATTATGTTAAATGTGCTACAAGAGGTTGGAGACACAAGTTAAATGAATCATCACAAATATGTACAGTTGTATGCAAAAGTTTGGGCACCTCCTGGTCTCATTATGTTGTGTTGATTTTTATAATAAAAAATAAGCCACTTTTTGGAAGAAAAATATCATATATAGGTTGTCTCTGGGAGTGCAGGGGCGTCCATTTTTGTCCACAAAGGGCTGGTGATGCTGCACGTTTTTATTCCAACAAAATGTGAGCATACATCATTAGTTCTTTGAAGATCAAGGCCAGTTGATTATGAAAGTGGAATCAGGTGCACTGCTGCTTGTTTGGAATAAAATCCTGCAGCTGCACTGGCCCTATGCAGACTGGACAACACTGCAGTGGAGGATGTGTTAATTTCACTTAGAAAATCAACCAAATACGTAATTTGACTGGGGCTGTTCAAACTTTTGCATATGAATGTATAGTGATCCTTATCTAACGATTAACTTTGGTGTGGCTGAACAGTAACTGATAATGTTACTTTTTGCATATTAAAACAAATTCGTTCTATAACCCGTATATGAAGTGCAGTGAACAAGAGAAAGTCTGAATCTTTGAAGATGCTAACTGCCTCATATTCTTTGGACCTGGGCTGCCCAGTCCTGGTCCTGGAGATCTACCACCCTGGTGACTTCAGACCCTGCCTCTAATATTCAGATGCCCCTGAAGGCCTTAATTACCTGGATCATGTGTGTTGGATGAGGCTGGGAGCTAAACTCTGCTGGGTGGTAGACCTCCAAGACTAGGATTGGGCACCTCTGATTTATGCCATATAGATCACTGAAATAATGATGGTTTTTAAATGACAGATTAGAGCTATCAGAAGGCTGTGGTATGTTTCCCCACACTGTGTCTTAAACATTTGTTTTAAACTGTAATTCTGATGTCCTCTGGTGAAGCCATTAAGAACTCCACTGACATTTTCAGGGCACGACAATACATGCGTTTGCAGCAAGCAAAAATTGGGTGCTAATTTACCAGTTATTAGCATTTAGCTAATTAATTAATAATAATTACTACCATTTCTTGACTGTAATTCTTATATCAGACTATCAATGTAATAATAACTACATTTTCACATTGATTTTTGAGCAATACATCACCAATATATCGCTGCTGTTGGAAGAAAATCTTGTATCTCAATTTTGGTCATTTTTCAGTTTTTTACATAATTTGAAAATGCCTGTTGCCCTTTAGATTGTCTGTAAATTTCATGAAGAATGGACCAAAAGAAACAGCCCAAAATGACTTGGGAAGATGTCTGGTTCCATTGACTTACATTAAAAGTAAAGTAGATTTTTTTGTTTTCCTGTAAAGTTATCATTTTGGAGATATGAGGTTTTCTTCTGACAACAGCGATCTTTTGTGTACCTTACTATTATAGGCTATTTGTAGCTAATCTTTCTTTCTCTGTCTTTGCAGGAGCTGCCATGGCTTCATGCATATGAAGTTTTCTCTGTCTCGTGATGGGAAGTACATCCTTGGTGAGAACAGTCCTCCCTTTGACACAATTCCAGAAGTCATCCACTACTACACTACCCACAAGCTGCCCGTCCGTGGTGCAGAACACCTCTCCCTGCTCTTCCCTGTGGTGGTCCAGACACTCTGAGAAAACACACTGACCTACACATGCGCACACACACACAGGCCTGGACTCCTGCTTGCTTACACACAGATAAATATGCACACTCAGGGCCTGATTTGGATCTACTTGCAGTAGCGCTTTGTACTTGATGACAAGTTTACTTTGTGTGGATTTGTGTTAATAGCCACCACTGATCTTTCAGTATTTGGTTTGAATCGGATTTGAATGATTTGGAGTGCCGTTGCCATTTTGATTGCGAATATTGTGGCTAATGGTGCTGTAGGTTATTTTAAAGCTTTTTTGAAACTACATGAAGCCACAAGTTTACAGTGGCTTTGCACCGAAATTTCAGCCACCAAAAATGATCAAAAAGAGCATTTTCGATTTTCGACCATAAGAGAAAAAGAGCCCGAAAAATTTGATTGGGAGAAAAAACTAGGCCTAGATATGGATTATATAGTAAAAATGAGAAATAGCGATTAACAAAGCTGTGCTTCAAAACACAGCATCCTGCTTGATATAGGCAGAATGTAGCATATGTGGCCTACTCACTGTAATCATTTTAGCAAGTTTATTCTGTGGAGACTGTTTTATTTATTCTCTGTTTTCAGCCAAGAATTTTCATTTCGGTGCATCACTACCTTTGACACCACATGACTTGCACAAAATGCTATGAAATGACAGTGTGTTGCTTTCACTTGCACTCAGTTTTCAGTTGAACTTGCATATCTTTGGAACACGAGCTAGACTAGTAGAAGAGGGCTTTGTGCTACAAGAAGACTCACCATATGAGTCAAATATGGACCCTTTAGTCTCTGCCGGGTTGTATGGGAAATGCCTTCACTATCCTGGCACATTCATATCAGTAATGTTGCTCTACTTCTAGCTGTAGATCATTGTACTGTACTTATAGGATATATGCTTTAGTCAAAAAGTGGACCTGCCAAAGTATAAAGAAGATGTGTTAACAATTAGAGAAGACAAAGATATATTGTAAGTATAGCCAGTAGCTTAATAATGTTTGAATGCCTTTTTTGCTAGCAGTTAGAGTTTTTGGAGTGGTTACAGCTACAGATAATATATACTGCTGTGGAAGGAATGCTCCAGTGTTTTGCAGCCTTATGTCTACCTGAAACATATGTAGTCAGTCGTCACAGATTTAAATCTAATTTAAAAATGCCAATTTGCTTCTGTTCTAAGTGGATTTTGAGGAAATAGGCTCTCGGTTCTTTAACAATACATGGAAACTTGTCAAAATCATTGTCCATGGTACGACATAGGTACACCAAATAGAAGTTAGGTTTGAAAAACACTGGAGTATCTTAAGGAAATTGGGCAACGCTGATGGAATGTGCAGAATTTCTTCCCCTGGAGCAGCTGACCAGCCCAAAAGCAGTGACTCAGACAAGAGTCTGGCAAGTAAGAGGTGAAAACAGGAAGAGAAAGCCCTCGCCTCTCCAGAGCCAAGCTCTTTCCACTTGGCCACCGTCTCCTCTCTGCCCCAGCAACTTCAAATCTCTCTGGCAGGAGAGAGGAAGCCACCCTTTCCAAAAGGCTGCACTTCACCGGAAAAAAAATTGGCCTTGCACTGCTTTGTTCAAAACTACTGAACTCTCGAGCACACTTTGAACACTTTTCTCTGTTTGTGATTATAGGGTTTGTGTGCATTAGTTGAACTTCTTTGTATATAGAAGCAATAGAGACATTTTTGGGGCGGGTAAGGATGGGAATAAATAAATATACAAATGCTGTATATCCTTATTATGAGAACCGCAACCACGTTCACTTTCTTCTTAGGAGAGATTTAACATCACCACAGTTTATTTTGTTTTGTATAGGTAGAAGCTTTAGATTTAGATTAGGTTTTAAGCCCCCAGGAATGGCCAAAACAACTTTACTAACGGTGGAGCTGTAAGGAGCAAAATACTCATCATATTTTTTCATGAAGGCATATAAATTAAATACCTTGGGTTTTTTGAGCACGTCTACAGTGAAGCAGAGCCATGCATGGTCTTATCTCAGTGTATTAGAAAGACTCTCAGTTCAGCGACTTTTACCTCTATTAGCTGTGCACTCCTGAAGATATGGTTGACCTAAGTGACCCATGGTTAATAGAGACGCTTGCCTTGTCCAATCTGAAATCTCAATTGCTCTGAAACAGCAAATCCTACCAGCCCTCACAGCTGCAGAGTAAAGCTATCACACCCATAGCACACGCTAATAGTACTGCAAGACCTAGCTTACTCTGTTGCAGAGTGTAATGTTAGAGAACTACACTGTAGTCTTGAATTATGACTAATTTGACTGACTTTCTGTACTGTTGTTTTTAAATGTTTCATTTCCTTGAAATAAAGTATGCTCTTTTCTTAAAAAAAACATAATTAATAAATAAATAAATAAATAAATAAGCAAGCATACATTGTATCATTCTTGCTACACAATGTGGTTGAATGCCATGTGGCTGAATGTGACCCAGGGCTTAGAGAGTAAATACGCTCTCGGGGGAAGCGAAGCATGAAGCAGACAGGGCAAATACAGCTCTCTCTCTTGCTCTCTCTCAGCATAAAGCAGAATCAAAGACGGTTCCTTCAGGCCTCCAAACAATACGCTCTGAAAAATAGGTCACGACTCCCACATGTCACAAAGCCTATATGTGCTGTGTTGCTGGTATATGGGAGCTGATGGGGGTGTGCATGTCAGAGAAAGAGCGTATTAGCCTTCCTTCTTGTAGTGATTTGGTTCTCTTTTGCATATTGTCTAATCTGGCAGTTGATGTCCTGTTGAGAGGGAGTTCTTTTGAATTCTATGGCTATGCATATATGGCAGTATGCAAAATTTGGGCCCCCATAGTCAAATGACTTGCTGATTTTCTAAGGTAAAACATATACGCATCTTAATAGACAAATATATTTTAAGATACTGCAAAAATACTGTAAAATGTATTTTATGTATGAGTGTAAGTTTGTTCCCTGTAGAAGATTTGTTCATTTATTTTCACTCAGAAAATCAAAAACGTCATTTTTGGTGTTCTGATTTTTGCATACGACTGTTTGCTGATTGCAATTAGTTTTAAATGGTCCATGTTCTATATTTGTCCTGTATTCCCCAGTATCTTGTTCTCCAGTAACTGCAGTAACAACACTCGTCATCACTTCAGTGTGAATGGGCAGGTTAAACTGCTTTAGGCCTAATAGGCTGTCATAAATAAATGTGTTTGTAATAGGGTTCTCAAACCATCACAGTAATCAATAACAATCACATTATTTTGTGTAGTTAATAACATGTAAATGAAATTGGTTTTACTTTTTCAAAGATGAACCTAAAGAGAAATTCAGTAACGTTATTGAAACACGAAATTCACATGAAAATAAAGTGAATGCAGTTTCCAGTTTTCTTCGCTTACGTCTAGCATGTTTTCAGCTCCTCCACAATTGTTGCCCTCTTGTTCTTGAAGGAAACTCTAGCATTCCACTTCTGCTGTTGCTTTTCTTAGTTTGCTGCTTGTTGTTTTATCCGGAGTTCTCCAACATAGCCTGCTGAAGTTGCTCCCGGTGCTAATGTTACTGATAGCAACGGTATTGCCAACATCGGTGGTGTGTTTTGCTTGAAAATGATACTTGAGACTCAGCATACTTCAGTGAAAAACATTCACAGCATGGCAGTAGCTGGAAATGACAACTGGCTTTGTCAAGACAGCCATCAGTGGAACTTAAAAGCTGGATTTGAACAAGAGGCCTGCAGTCGTGGAGTGATTGTAACAGCACACAAGCAGCTGGGCTTCAGGGACAAACCACAAATGGTTTGAATGGTCAAACAGGGAAAAAGCATTAATGGCTTTTAAAGAATCAGTGTTGTTCATTTATAATTTTAATTTGGTATCAATGCATGAACTTTAAAATTAGTAGTTCATGGTTGTGACATCACAAACATGGTGGATTAGAAATGGCCTGCATGTGCAGTTTTGTTTCCATATATTGTACCAAAGGTATCTCCAAAATGGTAATTTTACAGCAGAAGGCAAAATGTTTTTAACTTGTAATGTAAGTTAATGTTAAAAGATTTTATTCCAGGTTACTTTGAAGCATTTCTATTGATCCATGTGTCATGATGTTTTACACAATGTAAAAGGTAGCTGCTGTGGTCAAATGATGTAGAAAAAATAAAAATTTACAGCAACGATTTGAACTGTATGAACTGGGGAGTAATGGGTACATTGTTTACATGTGCATCAAACTTATTTCTGAAAAGCAAACAAAATCATGTTTCCGTGATCTGGGCTTTCAGTGTTCTGGCCTGCTATGTCAAGGCAGATAAAGCTGCACAGCTACATTTTTAAAGGTGTCATTTACAGGTTGCTCTGCTGTATTATATCCATGTTATGGCTAAAGCAGTTTGCACAGTTACAGTGGTGTGTGGATCCATTAAAAAATGTTTCTGCTTTCTCTCTTCTAAAGAGGCTACCCAAAGTCAACATCTGACAACGTTGCTCTGAGTGCTCATATAAATTGTTGATGCTCTTCACATCCTTGTATTGTATGATCATGAATGTGTGCAAGACTTTGTCAGCTGTAGTGCATTCTTTCAAATCTCTGTTGAGACTGAAGATGAAGACTGAGACAAAATAGGTTCTGTTACCAGCATAACATCATGCAGTTTCAGCTCTGTGATGCTGGCTGGTTTTTGTAGATGGATGCTGAAGCATGTTGGGGGAGGGGAGGTGGGTATATATTTCAGTGTACTCTCTCTGTGTGTATGTGAGTGTGTCTGTGTGTGTGTGTGTGTGTGTGTGCACTTTGGCGGCATGCCGTGTAAGAGCAGGTGTGAGGTGTAGAGAGCGCTGAAGCAGAAAGAGCTGGAACATTTCATCAGTGACGGGTCACAGAAAACTCCAAAATAACCACAGGAGCGGCCACAGTTGCCACGGTAACAGCAGCATCTCAACAGGATCCCACCCCCAATCATATACATCAATCTTCTTATCCCATGGAGTCCTGCATGTTTTAGAGAAGCAGGTAAACAGTACCTTATATGTACAGTCCTTTATACAAAAATGACAGGTGAAAATCAGTAATACTGCAGTCACAGGCCAATAAGATACTGTGTTGAAATTAATGACTGAAACATGACTTGTATTCATGCATTTAACAGGGAAAACACTATTTAACAATATGAAATATGTCGGATGTATCGTCTTAACATTCTATTAGGAAGTGACATCTATTTTCGACAGATCATTCCAGACTAATTTTTTTTCTTGGCCAAGTTTTTTTTTCAAAAGGCAGCCGATGTGCTTCAGATTGTTAATGTTTGAGCATTTTCTTTGCCCATTTCTACAGGTTTGCATCCAAATTGTCTTTGTAAACTTCTGAATTCATGATCCCATTAGTGAATGCAAGCTTACCAACACCACTGTAGGATAAACAGCCCCAGACTTTGTCATTTACAGTACTCTTAATGCAGTGTAGTTGTAATTCTTCACATACTTTTACCACTCACAGATGTGTCGTATTGGATCATTTTCCTCAATAAATAAAGGACCAAGTCTAATATTTTGTCTCATTTGTTTCATTTAGTTCTCTTTATCTACTTTCTATAGGGTTCGCAAACTTTCAAGCATTACTACACACACACACATATATATATATATATATATATATATATATATATATATATATACACTAAAATCCTCTTGCTTTGATTGCCCTATGCCTTAACTATGTTTATTATGAACATTAAAATAAAATAAAAATGCTTCCAAAACTTTACCAAATGTTTCAGTAGTGACTGTTTTGGTAGTGACAGTTTTAGCTCATTTTCAGCATAATTCAAAAACTGCAGCTGGTACATGATCTTAAAAAAAACATCTTAAAACATTTTTTAAAAATGCGATTTTAAGTTTTTATGATTTTTATTTTCATAAGTTGTAATTTAGGGGTAAGAGTTTGGGACAGCCACCTCTCAGTAGAAAGTACCACAATGTTAAGCTTATCTTGAATACATGACATAGCATCTCTCCAGTGTCTTCAGAGGTCCAGCCAGCTGTTTATGTTCAAAAGTATCTGGCCACCTCATTAGTGAATGCAATGCGCACCCATTGCTGACACTGGTGTTCAGTTGTGCTCACACAACATTTATATTCTCTATAGAAAAGCATTGCCAATAGAATGTGATGCTCTTAAGTAGCTGCACATGAGCCTAACATCACCATGCTCAATGCCAAGTGTCAGCTAGAGGGTATTAAAGCCCCCAGCACTGGGCTGTGGAGCAGTGGAACTGTGTTCTCTGGAGTGAATGGGGCTCCATCCTACACCTTTGGGATGAGCTGCAGTGGCTTTATCCAGAACTAATCATCCAACATCAGTACCTGACCCCACTAATGCTCATGTGGCTGTAATCAAACGCTTACAGCAGTGTTCCAACATCTAGTGTAAAGCCTTTCTAGAGGCTGTTACTGCAGCAAAGGAGGACAAACTCTGTTAATACCCTTGGTTTCAGAAGAACAGTGGTGTCTATAAACTTATGGACATGTAGTTTCAGACAATTCATATGGCCACACCAACCACAGGGTCCAGTGGCGACAGTGACTCATTGCCCAGAGCAGCTGGCATGGTTATGCCCTGCTATCTCAGTTCAATCACCAGTGTGCTGTTGCCTTTGACTAACCTTCCCCTGAGCTTGTTTTCGCTGTCTCACATTTGCCCTTTGGCCTGTAATATCATTATGGAGGCTCAGCCTCGGGCTCCATCTGCCTCTGTGTCCGGGTGCTGCGGGTATGTGTGTGCACACAGAGCAGCATGGCTGACGGGCAGAGGGAGGACAAGCTGGCCTGCTTTCACGTTTGATCTCTCCACTGTCAGGCCCAGTAAACGTGACTGTAATGGCATGCACTGATGTTTTAGTAGGCCTGTCTGTACTTGGGTTCAACATGCAGAAAAAAAAGAAGGCAAGAGAAAAAAAAAATATATATATATACCTCCATGTGAAAAGTAATGAAAGAGGAGTAATAAAAGAGGCAAAAAACAACTTAAAAGCTAAAGTAAATACTCAAGTTTTGAGTTAATTTTAGACTGTCAACAGACGGTGCATGACAGAATGACAGACAAAGTAGACAAAGAAATTCAGGTCTTTGGAGCATGGAAACAGAAAGTTGCTTCACCACTTTTCTCTTTCATTAATATGCAGTAACAACACGGATCATTATTCAGTAATAAAGACTAATATTCCGTAATAAAGGCTCAGAAACGGGTTATTGGGTGCATCTCAAATGGCTTCACGCTCCCTACAGGGTGCACTACATAGAGCATAAAATAATGAACTGTTCGCCAAAACACTGCACGCCATGTCCTTTCAGTCTATAGTTTAATCCACACTGACTCCTTATTTAACACATTCTGCACTACTTCATTGCAGGAGCCATTACTTCACGAGCTATGTAGTGCACTATATAGGGTGTAGGGAACCGGTTGAGATATTTTTTGGAACACGTCATTATCACGTCACTTGTTGCCAGAGTAACGAGGCAGCGTGCCTCCACTCGCTTTAACGGTAGACTTGCTACAACTACAGAGTCTGAGTTAAAAAGAAGACGGAGAGAAATGTAAAGCCGTCATTTAGAGTATATTAGAGACAAATTAACATTGTTTTCTTTATAACGACAAACACGAGAAGACTTCATTCTGAGTTACTTGGTTTAAGTAGTCTAGCTAGCCTTCCTGTTAGCCTAGCTCTTTAACTAACGTTCCCTGTTTGCCTGAGGTGAGCTGCTGACGGACACTGAAATAACCTTTTTTCATGTCGTATGGTATTAACGTAAATCTTAAATATTAAAGTAATCTAGTTAATGTTTTATATGACTGTAATATGACTGTTCAATGTGCTTTTTTTCTCCAACGTAAGTTTATACGCATTTTTAGTTTTGTGTGCTTGTGTGCTTCGTGTTGTGTGCGTGGTCTCAGTGCGCATGTGCAGACCCATCACTGTAAAATTAAGCCATTGTTCAACTTGCTCTTGTTTGTCTGCCGGTCTTAAACATAAACGTCTTTATGTCCTTCACTCTTATGGTTCTTCAAGGGTTCTTTAGTAAAGAGAATGCTTCTGTTTAGAACCATTAGTTCTGTATAGAACCATTTCATGCTTAAATGGTTCTTTGCACTGTGAAAGGGTTCTTCAGACTCATGGAGAATGTGTTGTATATGGTTCTATATAGCACCAAAAATAGTTCTTCTACTGTTACAAGCTTGACATCATAATAATTGAAGTACCCTTTTGGTGCATTTTCAAAAATGTTCTATATAGAATTGTATACAACACATCCTCCATCAATCTGAAGAACCTTTTCACCATGCAAAGACCTATTTAAGCATGGAAATAGTTCTTTGAGTGTTCATGGTTCTGTACAGAACTTGACTTTACTACAGAACTCTTGAAGAACCATTTTTTTAAGAGTGTTCTGTTTTTGTCCCTTTACGAAGCCTAAATGAATCAGCACTGTACTTGTAAAAGATATTAAGTGAACTCCATCTCTAGTTAGCTATTAAGCCGATCACCTTTAATAAAGCACTTTGATTTGTTGTGTGCCTCCTTCCTAACAAGGCAATTATTTTAGAGCATGGTGTCCTATAGCTTAGTGGGCTCTCTCTGATTAAACCATGGGGTCTCCAGAGCACTTGTTTCAGAGTTCATTTGCTCCAGTTAGTCTGAGCTGCAAAACCTAATGTACATAATGATGTGTTCCTCTCAGGTGTCTGGTAAGTGACGAACTACATTTGTCCCTTCTGCAGGCCTCTGCTCTTCCATGGCGACCCGCATTGACCGACTCGCTCGGCCTAAACCCAACCTGCTCAAGTTCCCTGACAGGTGGGCTTCCAGCAGACGCTGTAACACAGAGGTCTATGCAGATGAACACTGCAAGCTTTGTAGTAAATACATCTACTTATACATATTTACTCATTTATACATCTGTGCAAGAGGAAAAAGTTTAGAAGACAGTAAAATCAAACTTGTTCACACGTTCAAACGAAAGATGAAAGTTTAGGTGTGGTTAGAAGGTAGAATTTGTTTTACTTTTGTTTTAAGTTCAAGTACAAGAAGCTTTATTGTCATTTTAGATATGTAGAAGTACACAGTGAAACGAAACAACATTCCTCCAATGTTTTACTTTGCAAATCACAATTTTGGCCCTCTGTGCGCCACTCAAAGCTCTGCAGCAGCCTGTGCAGTTCATCTCTCGAGCGGTGTGACTTGTCTGAACAGTTTGCTGTATGTGCTTATAATGAATCTGCCCTTAGGACTGATTATTATGTGGCTTTCTCATGTATTTGCAGACGCTCTGTGTACTGGTTGGATGAGCTTCCAGCACAATCATCAAACAGCTCCTCCACTGCATTTGGTAACATGAAGTGTGACCCTTGTTGCTTACATTTACTATATACTATACTACTCAGCCTCCAGTTTCCCAAAAGCATCTTAGTCTCTCTACTATCATTTTTACTGGTAGAGAGAGTGTTCCGTGTGATGCTCACTCTACCATTTAAGAATCATTTTTGTGCTAAGATGCTTTCAGGAAAGCCAGTCCAGAAGCATTGCTTTGTTGACCTCTGTAAACCTTACAGTTTGTTGTGATGAATTTTGTGGAAATGGCTTTTTTAAATGTAGCTTTATGTTTATGTAGTTTCAAGTTTTATATTTGTCATTTGCACAACATGTTAGGACAAATGTGCAAATAAGCTTGAACTAAAGTTTAAGAAATAACAGCAAATGACTGACTTTACTGAAGAATCTTCATTAACAGTGATGTTTAGTCTTATATCGGCTCAATTTTCATCTGCATTTATAAAGACCTGTTTAAACGCTGTTTTATATGCATTGTCTGTGTTTCTCCACAGATCTGACTCCACGCTGGTCAAAACTAGCAGAGAGTAAAAAGCTTAGCGCTCACTTTGAGGACAACAGGTGACTGTCCTATAATACCAGCCAGATGTACAGTATTTTCGTTTTATTTACCTTCCCTAAGCACGTTATTTAAAACCATTTATAAGTATTTAAGTGTGGTTTCCCTTGTATAAACATCATATATAATTAGAACAGATGTAAATAAACATAAATATGGTAAAAAGTACAAAGAATTCCTTAGAGAATCTTCCAAGCTAGTATGAAGAACAAAATTAAGTTTCAGATTTCTCCTGAGTTCATCAGCCAGTGCATGAATTTGAAGTTCATCACCAACACACGATTCAACCTAAAAAAACTGATTAGGCAAACCAAGTACTGGATGACAACTACAAATAATACTGAGGTTCCTTGAGGTGGTTAGACCAACTCATTAACATACATAAAATCAATACTTACTGGTTAGTTTGTATTTATTATAGTATTATTCCAAAGAAACACTTACTCACCAGATAAATAGCTTTTAAATAGCTTTTATCTCTCTCATGTTTTCTCAGGTGCCTGATAAAATTGTGTGACTTGTGCACAGTGCTGTATATTTATCTATCTATCTCTATTTATATATCAGTGTTTTCAATACTCAATAGTATAATATAATATAATCTTCATCAGTTCAACCTGATAATACTGCATACAGTAACAAGCAATTCAACAGATTTTATTCCATTCAAATAAATAGTTTGAATGGAACAAGGCATAGCAAAATTTGTAGATGAACAAAATCAACATCAGTTTCTCCACTTTTTACAGTGTATAAAATGATTGTAAAATATTAGTCCTGTTCACAGCTTTCAAACCATTAGTAGGACACCAGGGAACTGTAAATTAAAATGAAGAATTTTAGATTTCTTCATCTTCTTTGGAGCTGTAAAAGATTCTAAAATGACTGGCAGAGCGGTCTAGCATTGAGTATTCAGTTAATAAAATTCATCACATTTTAAAAGTGGGGGTCAATTAATGTAAATAGATAATTACAGTTTTTTTATCATTTAATAACTGTTGTTGTTGAATTGTAATATTTCAATACACATTGTATCACTTATTATTGTACATAAAATAGCTTGCAGGTCTTGAATGGCTGAACTTGTACTACGGCAGCAATAGTACTGAAGATGAAGTTAAAGCAGTAAAGATGCTGATCTCTATCTGTATTGGTCAATTTGTGTCTACCATCATTGTCTCTCTTTCTCTCTCTCTCTCTCTCTCTCTCTCTCTCTCTCTCTCTAGGCGATCTCCTGAGTGGAAGGTGAGTGGAGCAGCACTGAAGGCTCGCCCTTCTGACAGAGTGTGTGCGCTTGCTTTACCCCGCATGCCTGCTGCTGGCTGGCAGCCTGATCGCCCCCTGCTGCCCACAGTGAGTAATGCTGTCTCACCTTTTTCTGTAGACCTCATTTTGTAGTTCTGTGTCAGCATGTGTACTGAATATCACTGTCATTTGGATTATGAGGTTGTTAAGTAGTTGGAATAAGAATATTGCTTCATTCAGGAAAAGCCCCCAGTTCGCCCACAAACCATACTTGCACTTGTGAACATTTAAAAATTGGACTAGTTACAAAGAAACTGGGTATCTTATTAAATAAAACATATAATATTTTTCTGCCACTGTGAGTTTTGAGCCAAAATAAATCTTTTCGTTTGAGATATTTGAGTGAATCCGGAGGGACTGTCCTAACGTCACCCTGAAAACTTTTCTTTGAAGGGAAATTCCACAGATTTATCTGAATGTCCACATAATTAAATAGTCAAGATGTAAACAAAGTCATTCAGAATTGCTTTGTGTGAAATGTGCCATTCTAGAGAAAATAAACGAGTGAAGATTGTTAACAGTGGTGGTAATAGGAACCAGACGTCCTAAGAGTTTAATTCCTCTTAAAGCTTCATCACAGAAAATTATTACATGCAATGTTTATGAATACTCAGCTTAAAGCCTGAGACATTGTATCATGATATTTTTAAGATTTTGATTTAAAACATTTTTTACACCTATTCATAGTAGAGAGATACATGTTGGATGTTTTGAGGCAAGATAGTATCCACATATTTTTGTTTTTTCAGATTTATTGCTACTTTATCATAATCAATATTACATATAAAAACTAAGAAGACACGTGTAGGTTCACTGGTGGTTTTGGATAGTAAATAAAATGGCTATATTTGTGTTGTAGACATTATGACACTGGTTCCTGTCACCACCACTGTAAAGAAATGAGGGTTGGTAAGTTTCTCTGAAATTAATCATTTTACAACGAGCCACTCTGAATGACTTTGTTTACATGTCATATATTGAATTATGAAGACATTTTGAAAATTCCCCTTTGTGACAAAGAAGGTAAATGTTCCTAATATTCACAACATAGAGATTATTGAGTACATTAATTATGTTTAAGACGTGATATTTATGTTTAAGATGTGATACTGAGATATGAGCTTTGCTTGAGATTTAGATACAGTCCACTACTTGACAGTTTGGGACATTACTTAAATAGAAAACTCAGAAAGTTATCATAGTGGTTTAAAAACAGGATTCCACTCATATATGTTGAATAACCATATATAAACTCGAAGTTTGTGGTTTTTTAATATTAGCGTCTCTCTAGATAATTAGCTACATGTACCTCACAGGCATGCTAATTCTACTCCAGGAGACAAGGTTAATTGCTGAAATTATCAATGCAAATCTGTATTATTTTGTTGATTCATGCTTAAATGATTCCACTCGACACTGTTGGTACCAGTAAGCCCACTACTAATTTCTATGACATTTGCCAATAGATTTTGAATGAGAGCCTAATATATATAAGAAACACAAGCCATTTTTGCCTTTGTTCATGTTCAGGAACACATCATGAGTCTGATGAAAAGGAACATAGATGGAAGAATAAATTATTTGATAACTACTATGAAACTAGTATGTAATGTATGTAGTCATATGAGTGAGGAACAGAAATTCAGTAAGGTTTAAGGGATTAAGCTGGTCTAATCATCTTTGTTGCTTTGTTCACATCACTTGTGTTGTTTAATACTGTGATCACCTACATGTAGTAGTAACAGTTACACAGTGGCAGCTACTATAAATTGGTGCTCATAACACACCCATGTTTCACACCACACACCCAGTCTCTCTCTCTCTCTCTCTCTCTCTCTCTCTCTCTCTCTCTCTCTCTCTCTCTCTCTCTCTCAGTTAAGTGTGGCAGTGAGAACAGCTAAGGCGAACGCCCGGATCTGCCAGTTGGCTCGCCCACGGAAGATATGTACAGCAATGACTCAGTTATGCAGCAGCTCTGAAATCTCTCTGTCAGTTCCATCTTTAGCCAAACTGTCCCCTCGCACGCACCTCCTGGCCAGTGAGTTAGTTTCCTCACCCTCTATTAATAACAGTTTGACATGTGAGGAATGATCATTGTTCTGTCATTTATTGCATGATAAACTTACTCAGACCTGTTTGTGCCAGTGTTCAATTTACTTTCGATCTTTGTTCCTTGATCTGACTTTGTTCTTCAACTCTGCAGCAAGTACTACTTGTGTTTTTATGAATGTTCTCATTGACCTTCACCAAAAACAAAAAAAATAGATAAAAGTTTAAGATATTCCTGCGCTGTCCAGTCACCATGCAGATTTTAGGTTGCCCTTAGTTTGCCGCTTGTGGAAAGAGTGAACATGTAGTTTGTCCAGTTTAACCCTGTTAAAATGAATTTTTCCACCTGTTTTTCTTCAGTAATGTTGATAGAATATATTTTGATGGAAATACGTATAATTTACAAAATCATTATCGTAGGTGAGTAAGCAAGTCAAGATTTATAAAAGTGTTTTTATTGTGGTTAAAATCTTTTTTTTATTGTAGGAGTTGTAGGATTGTTTGACATGAAGAAGACTGCAGGTGTGCTGCCTGTTTTATCTCTGCACAGCCTTTTTACCCCTCGTTGGTCGCTAACAGCTGATCACGGAGTCACAACATTTCACACACAGAGAGCCGACAGTGTCCTAGTTAATGTGATAACAAAGTTACAAAAAAGTGAAATATTTTATTTCATTATATTGATCAAAATGTTTTAGTCGATTTCACTCAGGGCAACTAGGGGACCTACTGAAAGAGGTTAAAATGCACTAAATACGTCTGTGCATATTATGTCTTAGCAGAAAAAGGCAGTGGTAGTATCAAAAGAATAATTTTACACAAAACCAAATATTTTTGTTTTGTTTTTTTATCTTAATTGGCTCCAGGGACATTTTAACAAAGGCCAACGCTGCTCACCAGCCACTGTGAGCACAAATTCTAGTCACAAAAACATTTTCAGTATGTGCTGCACTGCTTTGCACGCCACTCTACATTTTCTTCATGATTAGTGTTGCAATAAGCAGTGGTTATAAACAGTACAAGGAACAAAAAAGAAAACCAGAAACAATATTTTTCACAGACAATGTGGAAAAGAGGATGAAGCTGAAGTTGCACTGGCACACCATTAGGATAACTGGTGCACAATTTAAAGTGAAACGGAAAAGTTGAATAAGAAGCTGGTGAATATGAAGCCAACTTCAGCCTCATGAAAAGAGGAACAAGATAAAATCCAGCTGCTCTGGAATGAGAACTTGGTTCCTTTTCAACGAACTGAAAAAGAATTTGAAAATGGTTCCTTTTCAAGGAATTTTGACAACAGTAATGATTTTCTGAGTACTTCACTCCAAGTTTCCCCTCGCCTCTCATCTTATGAAACAGGCTGATAGTAATAAATGTTGTAAAGTTAGTCAACTGTAATCATTTGTCAAACTACCTGATATTACTTGATATACCTAATATTAATAATGTACACATTTTAATCATATAACCGTCACCTGTAGCTACTTAAAAATGTGGGTAAATGTTTAGGATGGTTTAATCTCTGCTACATACCTTTATTATCAGCTCTGGCTCTTTCTTGGTTAAAATTAAGTGGAGTTGAGAGTCTGAGTCAACTCCAGTCATGCATCACTATCTGTAGCTAGTGTAATGGTTTTGACAAGCATTGTCAGAAGATTCATGCACATGGATATTCATGCAAATGGGTATTATGGTAATTTTTTCCCACGTCAATAAATTTGATTTATTTATAATAATTACAATAAAGTTCTTCCGCCAAGCAATGTAATTTTAATAACTTGGTGCATTAATGCGCAGTTCACCTGATATGTGGTCTCAGAAGTGGAACTATCGGTTTTACAAGTTTTTGATCAGAACTGACTTTTTTTAGCAGCCATGAAATTACAGACTCTTGCGTTAATCCCATGTGACTTTTGCCTGTGTTACTACACCAGCATCATTGACATTCGTATTAATGGCCCTCCAAATATGGCCCCAACCCTCAGTCTTGCAGAGGCCCCAGAATTTTGTGCTACACCACTGGTGGGACAACTGTAGATAAATAAATGAACAACAAACTGAAAATAGCAATAGCAAAGTGAAGATAAAAATTTAAAACTGTGTTCACCCTATAGAAATCACATGATTTTCATGTTCAGGTTGATGTGAACTCTGCATTTACAAGATCAAGAAAATAATGCTGTTGAATTAATGAAAGTAATAGATACATTCTGATAAAACTTATTTGGTCCACTCATGTAGTTTTAAGAAAGTACACTGCTTTTTAAATGAAAAAACTCATTTAGGGTTAAATTTAAGCAAATAAAGCCCTTTTTGAGCTGGATTAGTTTTACCAGAGGGTCTGGTAATGTCATTTGCAAGGGATTCAACTGACCGATTTGTACAGGATAAAAGTATCTGTGTCATTTCCCCAAATTACCTCCAACAGCCAAAAAAAAAAAACATGTACTGTCGTGTGCAAAAGTTTGGGCACTCCAGTCAAGTTATTTTGTAAGTGAAAATAAAGCCTTATTTAAGCAGGATTAGTTTTACCTTGGACAAAAACTGTGATTTTAATCCAGTATGAAAAATTGTGCATTTAAATAGCAGAAAATTACAGATTTATGTAGAGAATGTTCATAGAAGATATTTATGTTCTTTCACTTAGAAAATCAACAAAGCATGTCATTTGACCAGGGATGTTCAAACCTTGGCATACAACTTTACTTTTGTGTTGTTTATAGCTCGGCTGCACTTTCATTTATATTTGTGAAAGTAAGTTACCACATCCACTACAGGGAACAATTTAAATATGGCATATTCCTGAAAATTTTAGCGCTTAATTTCTGTACATTTAAAATTTGTCATTGTTGTGTATTAAATTGTGTATTAAAATGTGCAGGGACACCCAAACTTTTGCATGACTGTAGATAGGATGCACACAGATGCCTAGTTCTGATTATTGACAGTAGTTTTAATGAAGGACAGTGATTTAGAGGCCATCAGAGTTAGGGGAGAATCGACGATACAGTTCAAAGTTACCAAACACTTTTTTACAGTATTGAAATTATTACACAAACTTACAAAGATCGTTCACAGGCACTTTGTTCTACATAGTATTTCACCTGCTCACTGTTTCTCTCTCTGTTTCTTTCTCTCACCCTGCATGTCTTCTCTTTCTATCCCTCCATCCTTTTCTTAGCCCCTAAACAGGACCATCCACAGTACTACCCGGACAGGCCTGTATCATGGCCTGTGGCAAAATCCGCTCTGGAGGCTGTAGCCAGTGAGAGGCTGCAGGTGCTGGCCACGCCCCGGCTCCGGAAGCCTCTTTTTGAGGGATTTGACCCCTACAGAGTGAGTTCGGCTGCCCGTGCTGCTACTGCGTCTCCCAGGCTGCAGGAGCTGGCCCTGCCCCCAGCACGCAGGTGCAGGAGGAGATGAAGCAGGGTTGACATAGGGCCTGATATTCAGTATTAAAAAATGCAACCCTCCCTTACTTCCCCTAGACACTTCTACCTAGAAAAGTCCATGCTCATGCTAGCATGTTTCAGCCTTTAAATAATTTAATCTTATTCAAATTCCAGATTAAAATAATCAGTGTTTCATTGCAGTTTTAGGAAATTGAAATTGTATTGTACAGAATTTTGCCCACACACCATGTTTCTGTGGAGTGGAACAGTATAAGGGAAATGAGTGTGAGCTTGTGAGATTGGAATTGTGCCCAAATGGACAATATGCAGTAATTGTTTGTCATCTTCCCTTTCCTTATCAAGTCTTTTACACAGATTTCTTGTGCACTGTGTGATTCTTTGGGTATAGTCACAATAAGCCAGTCTATAAAAAGGAGAACACTCACACACTGTGTAATTCTATTGTGTTAATGATAACAGTGAAGAGAGTTTTATCATCTGTAGTCATTCTAAGACGCAAATTATTAGACAATTTAAAGCTGCACTATGTACGTTTTGGTACCTTTCTGGTGGACATTGTATGCAATTTGCGGTAGAACATTTTGTACTATGAGTTGTGCCTCAGACTCCTTCCTGAAGCAGATGAGCATCTGGGTGCATTTTGAAGCTGCAAAAGCCTCTATCCTTAGCTTTAATTAGAAAGTGACCACTGTATGGCCACTGCTCACCAGATATGTTTTGGGTGGTGGACCATTCTCAGCAAAGCAGTGACATAGACATGGTAGTGGCTTGGTACTGTGTGGTGCTGGTACAAGTGTACTAAGTGCAGAGATGTAAGTGTCACTGCTTGGGTCCACAATTCAAAAATATCCAGCCAACCGTGGTCTTATGGTCAGAAACTGACCAAAGATGAGGGACTGGAGGATGACTAATACAAACTGTAGCTACAAGGTAGATGTGTCTAACAAAGTGGCCAGTGAATGTAGGGCCAGAGTGGGACTTGCTTTCAGACTGGAGGCTCATTGATGTAGACCAGCCAACCCCAACCTCACATAAACACACACAGCACTGCCTTCATGCAAAACAACTTTAAAATCTGTACATTTCATCTCTATTTCTCACTCTTATTTGTTATTGATATGCTACGCTGAGATAACCAAGATGACCAGCTAGTGATAACATGAGAACTGTTGAAAGCATTTATCTTAAATATTACATAATCATTACAGTCAATATACTACAAACTAAAGCTAGCTAAGTATGTTGAGGTCAGCTTTTCTCACTGCCCACCTGCTTGGATATGTACTTATCCTCCTTAAGTAGCTTTTTCTTTCTTGACTTTTCTTAGTTCTCGTGGCTGCTGTCCATCTTTATAGGATTCACATACAACAATCTTTACATTTATAATGCAAAAAACAGTAATGAACTCTGTAGAGCGCTGCCTGTTGTGTCAGCCAGTACGAGATTCATACCATCACACAGAATTTCATACACTAATCTCTCAAGGCTGATGTTAGCCTCTTATTCCAGTTTCTGTTTCACCTTAAATAGCACAGCAGTTACATGCTAGTTCATGTCTAGGCTTCTGAATATATGTGCTACAATAATAGCCGTTGTTACTTCAGCTTCATCTAATCTCTATCCACTGTAACTGTATCCACCCTGTTACAGTGAGCAAGTCAGGGCTGTACCACATGAGATGGGGCCGCTTGTTTTACCTCTAAATTATATTTTCGTGCTGCATCTTATTTAGGTCAGCAATACAGTTTAAGTTGAGCTTACTCAAAAACGTGTGCTGCCTCAGTGTTTGTTGAACTGTGTGAGCTGATGTGAAGGGAACTGTGAAGGGAAAATTGGCTCCCTCGAGCCAATGACTCCATTCCTCCAAGGCGAGCTTAACAGCTAAAAGTTTATGATCTCCGATGCTATAATTTCTTTCTGAAGCGGACAACTTATGGGAATAAAAAGCTATGGTGTGTAGCTTTTGTGGGGATCCAGTTCTTTGAGACAGTACAGTCCCAACTCCTGTTTCTGAGGCGTCGACTTCTACTATAAAGGGCTGTTCAGGGTCAGGGTGTTTAAAAATGGGGGCTGTGGTGAATGCTTCTTTTAGTTTCTGGAATGCTTTTTCTGCTGAGTCATTCCAAATGATCCTCTTGGGACTACCCTTAGGGAAGTAACGAGGGAAGCATTAGTGCTAAAGTTCCTAATAAAACGGCGATAGAAATTAGCAAACCCCAAAAATCTTTGAAGTTCCTTCACTGAGGTTGGTGTGGGCCAGTGAGCTACAGCTTCCACCTTGTTGTCATCCATTGTAACTCCTTGGGGGCTAATGATATATCCTAGGAAGGAAAGTGACTGCAGATGAAATTCACATTTTTCAGCTTTCAAGAATAAATTGTTCTCGAGGAGTCTTTGAAGGACTAAACAAACATGTTTCACATAGGTATCTAGGTCAGGTGAATAAACGAGAATGTCATCTAAGTAAGCGATAACAAACTGGCCTAACATGTCTCTGAGGGTGTCGTTAATGAATGCTTGGAACACCGAGGGGGCGATAGAGAGTCCAAAGGGCATCACCTGGTATTCGTAGTGCCCCCTGGTGGTCAAAAATGCTGTTTTCCATTCATCTCCTTTCCTCACTCAGATCAAGTTGTAAGCACTACGTAAATCCAGCTTAGTGAAGAATTTGGCCCCTTTAAGTTGTTCTAGCGTGACCGGGACTAAGGGAAGCGGATAGGGGTAGGCTTTTGAAATCTGATTTAGAGCCCGATAATCAATGCATGGACGAAGTCCTCCATCTTTCTTTTTAATGAAAAAGAAACTAGAAGCAATGGGGGACGTAGTAGGCTGGATGAAGCCTTGTTCTAGGGCTTCCTGGATGTAGATATCAAGGGCTTTTTGTTCTTCCTGTGTTAGCGGATACACTCGGGCTTTGGGGAAAATGGGATTTTCAAGCAGGTCGATAGCACAGTCATAGGACCTATGAGGGGGTAAGTTGGTGGCATTTTTCTTGTTGAAAACTTCCTTCAGATCTTCATACTCGGGGGGAATCTCAACAATGGGCCTTCTATAGATGTGGACAAAAGTGAGATCGATGGAGTGATTAAACAAGAATGGGTGCAAAAGTCCGACCATTTGGCAATGGTATGTTCGGGCCAAGAGATTGCAGGATTATGTTTCTTTAACCAAGTGAGTCCTAAAATGATCTCGAATTCAGATTGGTCTAGAACTAGAAGGGACAAAGTCTCTTTGTGGCAGGCACTGATCTGTAGCTCCACCGGGTTCATGACTCAAGAGATGGTGCCGAAACCCACTGGTCCTCCATCCAATGCGGCCACTTTTAGTTGAGTCTTGAGCGATTTCACTGGTATCTGCAGCTGCTCCACGAGTTTGGCGTGAATGAAGTTTCCCTCTGCTCCCGAGTCGATCAGAGCTGAAATGATAAGAGAGTGGGGATGACAGTATATAATTGCGGTCACCATTAAAGATTTAGAAACCAACCCCTTTGTGGGAACACTCGCCACATTAGCTTGTGGAGTGAACTCCATGTGCTGTCCAGGGGTTGGCACCTTGGTTTTTTGTGGCCGGGTTCGGCACTCACGAACTTGATGTCCCGCCTTGCTACAATACAGACAAAGATGGTTCTGCAATCGGTGCTGCCTTTCTTCTGGAGATAGCCATGAGGTGTCACACTGCATGGGTTCGGTGGTCTGTGTGTGCTCCGGCAGAACTCTTCCCCCTTCTCTGCATAGTGGGCGAGGTATTCTGTGACAATGCACCAGAAACCAGATGCTTGCGGTGTAAAAGGACGAAGGGTGTTTTAATAGGGTTAGGCAAAGGCTGGGTCAAAAAACAAGCATGGGTCAAATCCCAAAAGCAGATACAAAACACAACGATGATCATATCACCGTGCGAACAAAATCAGGGGGCAAGACAAACGGGCAAGTCGAAAAAACAGTCCAGAGGGTCAGAAACACAGAACACAAAATAACAGGCAACAGTATCCAAAGGGGGTTAGGCAAAAAGGCAGAGTCAAGAGAACAAAGCAAAAGGTCAAAATACACGGCAGACAAATGATCAGAAAGAACGCTCAGTAAGTTCGTAAAGAAGCAACACCTCGCACTGAACTGCACTAAAGCCCGGGCTTATAAACTATCCTGTCCTGATCATATGATCTAAAGCACAGGTGCAAATAGTCAATACTCTGGAGAACATGAGCGCTGATAGGAGCACGAGACATTGTCAGAAGTCATGTGATCCCCCATAGTATTGTGGGTAATGGAGTCCGTCAAAGTCTCCGAGTCAGAGGAAAGTGGCCCAGTCGTGTGATCCTCCTGAGAGTTCTGGGTAATGAAGTCTATATCATCCCGTGATACCGGCGAATGCGTGACAGCTCAAGCTGATTTTTACTAATAAAACTGGAATTTGAACTCAGTACTCTCCTGATGAATTTGAACTCAGTACTCTCCTGATGAATTTGAACTCAGTACTTCTTGAGCCATGAAATTTCGCAAAGAAATAATAAAACAATGAAAAGTAAACTCACTTCAGTATAGATAATTGTCCTTTACCTAGGCACAGACAGTTCTCTCTGTCTGAATATGAGGAAGCTTTTCATTTGTTCTTGGAAACAAAAGTTTAAATAACTTTGTGGCTCTATAGTGGCACAACTGTCTAACTGCTTAATCATTATACCACAGCCCTTCTTGGTCAGGAGGCTGAGATCAGGAAGCACTCAGCCTTCACCAAAAAAAACAAGGCACATCTCTTTAAGATGATTGTCAACAAAATTGTGTGGGGCTAAACTGCTGTGGGCTGAATAGGTGGATAGATGTAAATGTGTTGGTTTTCACGAGAGCACACAAAAAAAGAGTGAATTCAAAATATTCAGTTCTGCACCTTGGATGGTGTCTTTTGAAACTGCAAACTATTATTTTACACGCTACATCAAACTCCCTCATTTCAAACAAGTGGTGAAAAAGACCAACCAAGAAATGTAGTTCATTAACAGCAGATTATTCAGTTTATTTATTTTACGTCTTTTTACAACTATCTACTTTATAATGAATATTATTGTTGCCTGGCAACCATGGCCCAATGTTAACAAATTACATTACCTGGCAGAAGAATTGTTTGTTTCCCTGAGGCACAGCATTATGATAAGCTTTACTCAAACAGAC